AATACCCCAATATGATATCAGGTCGGTACGCAGACGGCGTTATTGGCGCAACGCGGTCCCCAACACCCCTGGATAATATCAGGGCCGTATGAAGAGGGCACAACCAGTATAATTTCTTTCCAAAGTTTATTTAATTTACTTCATTTATTTTCTTTTTGCTTATTAAATAAGATCATCGAAGGGGAATAACATTTATGATTATATCCCTTTTCTGGGTCTCAGCCGAGGACCCCATTTATTTTTCTTTTTCTAGTTATTTATATAATTTTACCCCTCATTATAGGCCAAGACCATCTCAGTTTCCCTTACATCCCTGCATTCCTTACATTCCTGGAACCCGTAAGTACACATTTTTTTTTTTTTTTTTTTTTTAACGTGGTGGAAATCTTCAGAAAGACACCTTCAGCCCCCCTGGGGAGGCCGGAGGTAGTGTGGGATTTTTACCCACTAAAACCACCACGGCGGCCTGCACTAGGGCGGAAGGGAGGGTCCTCTGACCCTCCGCCATGTACCAAACTCCGCCGACATCGGGGGCCACACCCAATGCCGGCACCCCTCGGGGGCCACACCCGATGCCGGCACCCCTCGGGCCGCGTGCAGTGGAGACCGGGGCCCCAGCCCCGGGCCCCTATGGAATTCCTTTACGTCCCTCGTTCCGTTACATTTGTGCATCCCTTACATCCCTGCATTATTTTCATCAGTACATTCTTTCCATCCCTACATTCCTTTCATCTATACATTCCTTCCATCCCTACATTCCTTTCATCCCTTAAATCCCTACATTCTTATCATCCCTTAAATCACTACATTATTATCATCCATACATTCTTTTCATGCGTACATTCTTTTCATCCCTCCACTATTTTCATCCCTACACTCTTTTCATCCCTACATTGTTATCATCCCCACATTCTTTTCATCCGTACATTCTTCTCATCCCTCCACTCTTTTCATCTCTACACTCTTTTCATCCCTACATTCTTTTCATCCCTACATTCCTTACATCGCTTCATCCCCTACATCCCTACATTCTTTTCATCCCTACACTCTTTTCATCCCTACATTGTTTTCATCCCTATATTCCTTACATTGCTTCATCCCTTTCATCGCTTCATCCCTTACATCCCAACATTCTTTTCATCCCTACATTCCTTTCATCCCTACGTTCCTTTCATCCCTACGTTCCTTTCATCCCTACACTCTTTTCATCCCTACATTATTTTCATCCCTACATTCTTTTCATCCCTACATTCCTCTCATCCCTACATTCCTTTCATCCCTACATTCTTTTCATCCCTACATTCCTTTCATCTCTACATCCCTTACATCTCTGCATCCCTTATAATAAATATATTATAAAGACTGCTTCGAGTAAAGGTAAGTTAGTTCCTTTTATCTAGGGGCGCTATTTTGTCGAAAATTTCGCGGAAATTTCGAAAAAGCAGCGCCCCCCAGCGGCAAAAATGTGAACTAAAATCTCGACCTCGAATCAGCGCCATCTGGTTTTTGAAAAAGGAACTAAAGCAAGAAGCAATTTTGGCCCTCTATCGGCAAAAATGTGAACTAAAATCTCGACCTAGAATCAGCGCCACCTGGTTTTAAAAAAAGGAACTAAATTAAGAAGCAATTTTGGCCCTCTATCGGCAAAAATGTGAACTAAAATCTCGACCTCGAATCAGCGCCACCTGGTTTTAAAAAAAGGAACTAAATCAAGAAGCAATTTTGGCCCTCTATCGGCAAAAATGTGAACTAAAATCTCGACCTGGAATCAGCGCCCTCTGGTTTTTGAAAAAGGAACTAAATCAAGAAGCAATTTTGGCCCTCTATCGGCAAAAATGTGAACTAAAATTTCGACGGCGAATCAGCGCCCTCTGGTGGCGAAAAAAGGAACTAAATTTGTATAAAATCGCAGGCCTTACAGCCGCAAATATTTCAACTCAATTTTAGGGAGGTAAAGCATACAGGCATGTAAGGGGTGCAGGTATATAAGGGATGCAGGGATGTAAGGGGTGCAGGGATGTAAGGGATGCAGGGATGTAAGGGATGCAGGGATGTAAGGGATGCAGGGATGTAAGGGATGTTGGGATATAAAGGAGGCAGGAATGTGAGGAATGTAGAGATGTAAGGGATGTAGAGATGTGAGGAATGTAGAGATGTAAGGGATGTAGAGATGTGAGGAATGCAGGGATGTAAGGGAAGCAGAGATGTAAGGGATGCAGAGATGTTAGGAATAGTGAGATGTAAGGGTTGCTGGGATCTAAGGAATGCAGTGATATAAGGGTACAGACGAAAGTAATAAAATCAACACGTTCGTCCTCCTAAGGAGTTTATTCAATAAGCTAACCGGAAGCTAGCCGGAAGGAATAAGAGAAAGAAAAGGAATTCGGTTTATAATATTTATAAATAATGTATAATATATATAAATATATGAAATCATTTATCTTGTTATTTTCACTGTTGTTTCGGGGTCGCCAGCTGTGCTGATGGTCGAATTGAAGGTGTATGTACCTACATATACCGCAGTTCACCAGGGTCCATAACTGCGAAAAGACCAGTTTTCGTTCTTCGCGCTTCTCCAGTGCGCATCTTCGCCCTGATTGGCGATACTCCCAAACGAAGTGGAAAGCGATTAGCAGAGAGCTCGCTGCGTTCCCCCACCATCTTCCAACCTGCGCGTCGCAGTTATGGACTCTGGTGAACTGCGGTATACATACACTGAGATGATGGGCGGGATCGGCTCACCGACGCGGCGTGAATGTGTTAGTGAATTTGTAGCCAACTTCACTGCGACAAGTTTAATGCAATACATACACACTATACACCCTCGACGGATTTATCATATCAAAATGAGATAAAATGGTAAAAAAAATGTCGAGTCGCCAAAAACCATTTTCACAGATATTTCCTTTTGCAAAATGGAGCTTATTTACAAAATTTTGCCTGAATCCCCGCTAGTATTTCCCTGTTTCAGAAAATCGGTCGGTAACTTGACGAGTAGTTTGATCTGTTTTTAAGGAGATAGCGCCAGAATGAATTTAAAAAGTTTTTAATTTATGGTGGTCTTTTTAAAATACAAGTTTGTGAATACATTATCTTCATCTTAAATTTGCCCTTTTGGGCAAATAAGGGATACGTTTACGGGTCCCTTATCGCCTAGGGCTGGCGTATTATAGGGACTTTTCCGCTCCTCTATTGCCCAACGAACACTTCCGGACACGCGCTCTTCGCGCGCCTTTTTTCAAATCTCATTCTATACATTTACCATACTTTTGTTTCTGTTTTTCGCCATATTTTTACAATTTTTGCTTGAGCCTGCGTGTGTGTGTGTGCGCGCGCGCGCGCGCGCGCGTGTGTATGTGTCCCCTTTTAGTCGCCTCTTACGACAGGCAGGGGATACCGTGGCCGTACTCTAATCCCCCCGAGCCACAGGGGTTATTTGTGAATACAAGTTCGTGAAACAATTATTTTAATAATTTGTTGGTCTTGTGTTATAATTTCGACTGATTTGTAAAAAGAAAATATAATCAACGAGAGTCAAAATCTTGTCTTTTCAGTTGTGAGTGCGAGAGAACGAAAATGCTAAACGTTTAGAAAGAAAATATATTATGACACTCCCAATGAATTCCCATAACGAGAACTACTCGTACCAAGCGTATTTTCAGTCATTGTAACCTTTTGTTCCATAAGAAAAGTCAGCTTGGTGCGAACAGACGAGCGGTACTTACAATTAATATCTAAGTTTTAATTAATTCCGAGCTAATAACGAGTCACGGAACGATGAAGAATCCGTAGCAAGCTAAGAGAGAGCGAAGGGAAGGCAGAGGTTCGAGAAGCTTAGGTGGTATCGTCGTTATAGAGTAATTTGCAGATACTTGGTCGGATAAGGACGCATAATTGGGCCGCGTACAGAATGAATGAGATAAATTAGAGAAGATATCGAAGAGTTCCGGACATCCTTATTCGAGCATATCTATGAAATCGAACGAGAGAAACGTCCAGCTATGATAAGAGTCGTTGTTGCCATTTGGAAGATAACTAAAGCTCACCTTCGATTACCTTCGACAAACTGGTCGAATTATCTTTTTCGATCGCGGGTAGACGCGTGACGTTAGGTGACGAAACGAGGAGCGATGCAACGCGCCGGGACGCTACGGGACGCGACACGAATCAAAGAACTCGATTACGGTGCTCACGTACCGATACGTATTCGAGGTTGAAACAGTACTTCGATGAAGTCACTGTTTTGCTTTGATCTCGATCCTTGTACGGTTTTACGGCATTTCCGCGCAGGTCCTTTACCCCGCAGCGAACGCGTTCTATGCGCTCTTTCTCGCTGACTCTTCTTTTGTTCGTGTCTCGGCCGATTCTCCATTTACATTCCAACGCAGTCCATCGCACCGCTTCCTGTTTCTTCAGCGACTCGTCGTTTCCCGCTTCCCGCTTCCCGCTCCACGAGCCTCGTTGACGCTTTTGTTGAGGAACGCGGGTCATTCTCGAGAACGGGTCAAACGGGCCGAGGGACGGCTTTACGAAATCGAGCCAGACTAACGAACCGCTAACGCTGCCGATTGTTCGAGAATCAGCTGGAATTAAACTCGTTTATACGTCGACGGAAACAGAGGGTGGTAGATGAGGAACAGAAAATAAAAATAAAAAAGAAAGGGTTCGTTTCGGGGGAATAGCAATTGGAAATTTCTAATGCAAGTCAAACGCGTTATGAACAAAATTTCCAAAGTTACGTTCAAAAGAATTTGGACGGGGACGAAAATGGAAGGACCAAGGTAAAGCAAGAGCAGAGTGCGGTAGCGCAAGGTGGGAGAGCAAGGTAACGCAAGGTGGTGTCCGCTTTTCCATCGTGTACAGGGGCCAAAAGCCAGCGGGTGTAGGCGCGGGTCGGCGCGGGCCCCCGACGGGGGGCACGCTTTGCTTTCAGTCATTCCGAAGCAGGCGCGGATAGCACGCGTTCGTTCGCCTATCTTTTGCGTAAACGCAACGCACCTTCGACGCGAATAATAATTACGCTTTGAACGGGGGTGAAAGGATCGTTGATTGATCGAGCCAAAGAGGCGGGATCGTGAGATCATGCGCGGCAACAGCGAAGCAATTTTCTTCTTCTTCGTCGCGGTCAATCATTTGGTGAGTATCAATTTTCCGTCTTCTACAATTCCTTCCCTATACCTCAATCGAAAAGAAAAATTGCGTCGAAAGTTGCGTACGAAAATTGAAATCGAGAATATTAATTGTCTTGCCACGATGACTTGAAAGTTTCTTCGAACCAAGTCGCGAATCTATACGTAAACATTAAATGCAAATGCGAAACGTAAATGTATAATTTAATCGAACTCGTTCTCCTTCCCTCTTTTGTTCTTTCTTTCCCGTCTCTTCCGCGTTTCCACGTTCCGTTTAGCTCGAGTTTCCACGTTCCCTGGCGCAAAGTCGAGCGCAAAATTGCACGCGCATTGTGCGATGCTCGTGAGAACATGAAAGAGGCGGAATGAAAAGGGGGAAAGGGGTCGAAACGGTTTGTCGGTAACGCGATAACGGAGAGTCGCGAGAAGAATCTGTGGTTCCGCGGTGAGAATTCCGCGTTGGGTATTTCAGAGTGCAGCGGAAGGTTGGTCAAGATCGGTGAACAGGGCGGGCAGGGAGAGCAAGCTGGGTGACACCTGCGAGAAGGACGACGAGTGCGATTCGAGCATCGTCGCTAGTCACTGTCATCGCGGATACTGTCGGTGTTTGCCGTATTTCGCCGCTTACAATGGAACCCACTGCCTCGAGGGTGAGAATTCGCAAATACGCTCGATCCTATACTCGATCTATCAAAGGAAGAATAATATTCGAACCGTTCGTTTTTCGCCGAAACAGCGGCTCTTCTGCGTCAGGAGTGTATGGTCGACGAACAGTGTTCCTTGAAAGTTGCCAACAGCGAGTGCCTGGACGGTCTTTGCTCTTGCAAGGAGGGTTTCTTGCAATTTCGTCGACACACCTGCCTGGGTCGTAAGTACCGTGGTGCACCGTTGCATCGTTGCACCGGAAGCACCGCGATAATCCTTCCTAACGTTTCAGCGGCGAAGCTCGGTCAGGTTTGCTACGAGCACGCTCACTGTCGACTATGGGACGAGAATTCGCACTGCGACTTTTTGATTCCCGACTTGTTCGGCCGGTGTCAATGCACGGCGCCGATGCGTCGTGAGAAGGAGGTTTGCAGGCCGGACGATCTCGTCAGACCGCCACCGTTGCTCGATCGACAGCCGAATTCGAGTACCACAGAAACGAGCAACCAGATCGATCAGGATCGAGAAGAGGATACAGGTAGGATACTGTGGTAGAAGTAATCGAACTCGAGTTCGATTTCGATGTCTAATTGCAGGCGTTCAAATGACATGGTTGAAGAATGGTACGACGCACGCCCCCGCGATACCGATCATCGGACCTACGTTGATCGTCACGAACCCTACGACAACGCTCCCCAACGATCGCGACGAACAGAAACCCGAGGACGATGATGACGATGACGAGGACGACGATTCCGTTGTCGTCGAGGCTATCACCGAGAGCACGACGACGTTGCGCTCTTCCGTTGGGACATCAGGTAATGCTAGAACAGAGAGAAGAATTTTTCTCGAGGCCGAAAAGAAGAATATTAATCTGACGAATGATATACAGTACCCGTGAAAGCGGATCGGCACGAAACGAGACCGGTAACGGCGGTTAGCTTGGGCCTGGACTGCATTTCGGACGCTGAGTGTCGGCTGGCGGACCCTTATTCCAGATGCATCGAGGGCCTGTGCGAGTGCGGTTTCGTAGGGAACGGCAGTTGCAGCGCTAGCAAGCCTGGATGCACGCCCGGTACCTTCCAGTGCAGAAGTTCCGGGATATGCATCAGCTGGTTCTTCGTGTGCGACGGTAGGCCCGATTGCATCGACGGCTCGGACGAACGTTGCTCCGACCCCGAGGGAAACTGTCCCGCGGAAGCGTTCAGATGCGAGCAGAGCAATAGCTGCGTGTCCAGGGCGGTGGTGTGCGACGGGAAACGCGACTGTCCGCACGGCGAGGACGAAGCTGGCTGCAACGATAGACGAAGTAAGCCTTCGTACACCCTTCGATTTTACGCTCGAATAATCTGCTCACCTCTGTTCGTCTTGCTGTTACCGCGTTACAGAGTGCCCGAACGGAGCGTTCAGGTGCAACAACGGTCAATGTCTACCGGCGTACGAGTTCTGCAACGCGGTGGTATCCTGTCGCGACGGAAGCGACGAGCCTAGAGGAGCCTGCCGAACGCGGAACCGCGGCCGGATCGGGCCCAGGCATTGTCCTTTCAGATGCGACAACGGAAGATGTCGTTCGGACGCGATCGCGTGCAGCGGTCGCGACGGCTGCGGCGACGGTTCCGACGAGGCACGCTGCTCCGTTTGCCGTTAGTAACACACTGCTACCCGCGTGGGAGGATGCACATGCGCGCAATATCATTATTCTTATTCCCATTATCGTTATCGCTCGTTTCAGGATGTTCGACGTTTCCTTAACTGGCTCTGGAAGGGGTCTCCGGTGAACGAATTTATCGACGACGGACGTCGATCTCAAGAACGTGACAAGAGATTGGAGAACTGGAAAGCGAGAGCGATCGGTCGCGAAACGGCCACGTCTTTCTTCGCTTTGATTCCCTGTGTATCGTCTCTTAACGAAGTTTCATACGAATAAACAAAGTACTCGCGGAAGTTGCGTGTTACCAAGTTTTTACCTTGACGAGCGTTCGCATTTGACCACGTTTCCGTTCGAAATTGGCGAGGTCCGCGTCTGCGTGAACGGACCCGGTGCGGCAACGGCCGCCTCAGAGGGTCGACGGGTGGCGCGAATCAATACCCTTCGACCTATCTCGACGCCTTTTTCGAGCATGCATACGTCGAGGCACGTAGGTTTATTCGGTCAGTGTCGCATTTTCACCAAGGCTAAACGGCCGCGGATCCACGATCCGCCGTGTCGAGCCAGTTGGGAAGAATCGTGACAAGGAGGAAGGCTACCTAAATCTTGCCTCTCTCATCCTCTTCGCCGCTCCGCACCCCGTTGCTCGCTCTTTCAGCCCGACGCAGCAGTCGTCGCGTTTACGTCAGTCGTTATCGAGACACGGCCGTGGACGCGACGAGGTCGAACGCGCGCGGGACCAAACGACGTTTTATTGCCAAGTTACAGCTGATAAATTAACCGTGATTAAGTAATCGATGTTTTGTTAGATGAATTCGCTAACAGGGAATGTTGTACGTACTATTTTTTTTCTACCAATAGTTGCGTAATCCACATTATTCCATCGATTCAATTGAAAAGAACGACTTCCAGTCAAGTAACATCAGGTGTTTCAAGACGCAACAGCGATAACGCGAGCGTTCTAGGCCAAGTACCGCGACGTGGAAGTACCAACCGGAAACGAGCTCAATGATCGCGTCGAAGCGGCACTTGCTGTTTGTGGTTACTCGCGTTACAAAATGCTCCCGCGAACGAGCAAAACGGTACCGAGCCCTCTCGGTCTCGGCTACGGCCAAATTCAAAGAGGCAAGAAAGGATCGCGTATACTCGAGTGCGTTTGTCGAAGATCCAGCTGGTTGTTGCTGTTGCTGTCGGCCGTGCTGTTCGCCAGCCTCTACGTCGTCTCCTTCGAGGAGAATTACGAGTTCGACTTCCCTTCGCGGTACCGTTCCTCTTACGGCTCGTACAACGTCACGGAAGGTAAGTAAACGAGTATACGGAAGACCGAGACAGAGAGGGAGAGCGCGGTTGCTGGTTGTCGCAGGAACGATGGACGGCTACCTGGTGTGGAATTCGAGGTGCCAAATGTTGTCGAAGAAACCGATGGACCCGTCGATCCGGGCTTACGTGAAGAAGGAAAAGTTTCAAAGATGCTCGAACGAGCCTCCGCTAACCGGGGTGTCGCGCGACGAGAACGGCAGCGTGATTCTTTCAATTAATCCGACCGTCTCGACCCTTCACCCCGGCTTGCAGTGCTGTTGGGCGCCGATTTTCCGACCCGAGAACAAATCGGCCAAAGAGAAAGCGAACAAACGGACTAACCTCGACTCCTCGATCGTGTGAGTATCTTACGGAGGGGGCGGATTACCGCGATCGGGACCTCGTTACCAATTCGATCCAATCATCCCCCGTTACAGGGTGAAACGATGCGAGAAATTCGACGTGGAGACCAGACTGCCCGACGACGCGCAAGCGGCCATGGTCAGCTGTACCGCGAAGCCGAAGAAAGGGGGAGCGAAAGCGACCGACAAACCTATTTACGAAAACGTTCACCCGATCCTCAGCGTCGAGAAGGTTCGCGATCGTTTGGGACAACGCAACGCGAACCGATCCATCGATACGAACCGAGATCCTCTGCTTTCGAGAAAGTTGAGCGTCTTGCTGCTCGGTATCGACAGCGTCAGCAGGCTGAACTTCATGCGCAGCGCGCCGAATACCGATAAATATCTGCAAGAGACCGGCTGGATTCGCTTGAACGGCTACAACAAGATGGGCGACAATACTTTCCCGAATCTAATGGCGATACTGACCGGGCAAAACCAAGCGCAGGCCTACTCGAGGTGCAAGCCGACCGTTCCCTACATCCTCGACCGGTGCCCCTTCCTCTGGCACAAGTTTCGCGAGGCCGGCTACGCGACCGCCTACGGCGAAGACGAGACCAGCCTAAACACCTTCAACTACCTCAAAGTCGGTTTCGTCGAGCCACCGACGGATTATTATCTACGACCGTACATGCTCGCTTGCGAGAAGCTGCTGAAAGTGAAAAAGAGGTACGTAACACGGTTTTCTACGTTCCCTTTCCTCCTCTACGATTTACAGACGCGTTTCCTCTGTTTTCAGATTCGGCCTAAAATATTGCACCGGACCGGAAAGTAGCTTCGACAGAATCCTCGATTACGCGGTCGATTTTTCCCGCGCGTTTCTAGGCCTACCATACTTTGGCTTATTTTGGACCATCAGCGTGAGCCACGAGAATGCGAACGGGTTGTCGTCGATGGACGCTCGACTGCTCGACAAGCTGAAACGGTTGGAACGCGAGGGTGTGTTGAACGACACGATGATCGTGTTTCTGAGCGATCACGGGATGCGATGGGGCCCGATCAGGAGCACTCTCGTCGGCTGGTACGAAGAGAGATTACCGTTTCTCTACGTCTGGCTGCCCGAATGGTTTCGAGTCGAACAACCGGAAGCGTATCCGTCGTTGCGCGCCAACCAGCATCGACTCGTTTCCCCGTTCGATCTGTACGAGACGCTGAGACAAGTGCTCGATTTGTCCGGAGGTGAAGCGGATCCGTCGCCGGGTTGTTCCGGTTGTCGCAGCTTGCTCGAACCTTTGCCTCGCGAACGCGGCTGTTCCAACGCCGGCATCTCGCTGCACTGGTGCGCCTGTACCGCGTTCGAGCCCGTCGATCTAAAGGATCCGTTGGTCCACAACGGGGTGAGCTTCTTCATCGAACACGTGGACAAGCTGCTGGACGCGTACAAGGATCGCAAGGGTAGACGATTGTGCGCGAAGCTTCGCTTGAAGAAGCTGATCAGAGCGAATCGAGCGATCGACTTCGTCGACACGACCAGCCTCGCCTACTTTTACACCGTTCAGGTCAGCCCGGGCGACGGGAAGTTCGAGGTGACCGTGCGATACCACGACAATGCCACTTACACCGTGTCGGATCACGAGGTCAGCAGACTCAACTCTTACGCGTCCACCGCCAAGTGTCTCGAGCACGGGATGAAACAGTATTGCCATTGCCTACGATAAATTCGGACGCTTGGCTGAACTTCTGCTCCGCAACAGTGCCAAATTCGTACACCGCGAATCGCGTACGCAAATGCACACGTGTGTACATGGATATGTGTATATTTTACTACCTCTCTTCAACGCAATTGTTTTACACGAAGACACGCAACGAAATGAAAACGGATCGAACACCGTTTGTACAACAAATAAATCGTGGTTTAAACAAAGAAACTGGTTACATTGATTTTTACCCTATCGATACTCCTCCGATACTCCTCCGATCAGTTTGAAACAGCATCGAGGCTGAAGCGGGACACGCGGGCGATCTGGCGACCGGTTTCCGCCTCGCCGGCTGCTCGTCGACGGATCGTCCCGTGATCCGGTGTGCCAAACAACATTACCGTGACCGATTGCTTGCGGCCGTGAGTCATCGTCAGACCTCTCCGCGCTAGAAATCCGTCCAAAGCTTTGATCCCCTCGCAGAGGCTGTCTAGATCGCAGCTCGAGTATCGTCGTCCCCGTCGTCGTTGATCGCAACGAGTCGAACCGACCGCGGCCGGATCGGAAGCGCGCATGCTTCCACGTTCGCGGCCCAACTCGAACTCGACGTCGAACTCGCGGTTACTCAGCTTCTCGTAACTGCTAGTCGAACCTATCGTAGACATTCTGCCGATGTAATTGTCGCGAGAACAAACCGGAAATCTACTCGCGGATCTTCGGAGCGTACCACCGCAAGGCGTCGACGATGCTGTGGACGCAACTGTCGGGGAACCGCTTCCGCTTTGCCATCGGCCTGCTTTCCCCCCGAGTAGCCTGATGATCGCGCTTCTCGATCGAGAACAACTCTCCTCCTCTTCCGTTTCCTCCTTTTCCTCCGCTTGCACTTCTCGTTCCTCGATGTTCCGGTAGTTTTCTCGCCGATGTTCCTCTTCCGCTACGTTTCGCTCGGCAAACAGCCGACGAACCGGTCGAACAGGAGTGGTAACACGCGCCTCGGTTGCACACCCACATGCTCCCTCGCAGGAACATCCGGAACGAATGGTCCTCGTCGTCGTCGTCGTCGTCGTTGGAACGGTGTCGTACGAATCAACGCCGTCCTCGGCGATTTGCTCGGCCGTTGGATCGGTTCGTGACTCGACCGGGCCTGCGATTCGTTCGAGAGTTGAAGGTCCGACTCGTTGTTCGCGCGTCGCCCTGTCTTCGTCTTCTGGCTCGTCGCAAGTCTGCTCGGTGTCTGTCGAAGCAACGCGCAACGTCTTCGGCTGCGAATCACAGGAGGAATCGCCTGTTCGGTTCGAGCTCGAAGCGTCTCGATTCCGCGGATACGCACCGACAAGTTCGCCGTCGATCGAGAACGAGCCTCGGCCGAGAAGTTCCGCGGTCCTAACTGCTGCCTCGCTGCATCCGGACATCGACGACGACGACTGTCCGCCTCGACGAAACCACCCTCGTCGGGATCTCCTCTCTTCTTCCTCTTCTTTTCCTCCTTCTACTCGTTCTTCTTCCTCGCGACCGTTTTCCTCCCCGGCTGTTGAAACGTTCCACCGTTAGACAACCCTTCCCCTGTACTCAAATTCGCTTCGTTAAAAAACCAATACTCACGGCTGTTGCTGTTGCTGTTAGTGGTGGTGGTGAAATTGCGCGACATCGATCCCGGTGGAGTGACGTACGGAGGCGGTGGACTCTCCGGCAAACAAGCCTCTCGATTCCTCGTGGCCGCGATACTACCGTGACTGGTGCCCGCCGTCTCGCTGACAGGACACGCGAAAGATCGTCCAACGTCCAACCTCGGATCGAAGAAACGATCGAGCAACGTAAAAGTGAACATCTGTACGCTGAGAAAGACGAAGAACATTAAGATCGTCGGTGAACTTACGAGCAGCTGCGACCCGGCGAGTTTCGGCCCCGGGTCTCTCGAGTAAAGGCTCTCCTCTTTTTCCGCGCGATCATCTCCGAGTCGAGGCCGAATTTGACCACCTCGTCGTAACCAGGAGGAGCCTCGTAAACGGGTGGGTCGTCCGATACGGAGATCTCGTCGATTCGCGCTCCGTCTGCAATATCGAACACTGTCCAAAGTGACGGTGAGATGTCGACGAGTAGTCGCGCGTGATCGCCCTCCTACCTAGCAGCTCGCTGATCGTTTGCAACCGCGACTGTAATTCCCTCTGCTGCCTCGCCCTCGCGCCTATTCGGTACAACAGGATGATCAGGGCCGAAATCAGCACGATCAGACCGAGGCTACTCGCAACGAATACCAGCGTGGCGGTCTTCAAGTCTGGATACCGGTCGATCTTCGGGAAATAATAATTTGCCTTGTTCGAGTGCCACTTTCGATCCTGCGGTTCCACCTCCCAGTCTACGAACGCGAACACAATCCATCTGAACGCACGTACGAGAAACGGAATCGTTCTTTATCTACCTCGAAAACAAGTCGCCGGTTCGTCGCTGTTGTCGCCGCAGTGATCGAACCCGTCACAGTTCAATTCATTCGGTATGCATCTGTGGTTCCGGCAAAGAAACTCGGAACCCGCGAAGCAATCTGCGAACAATTTCGAGAAAATCGGTTTAACCGATCTTATCGATGTACTCTGTCGCGTGAAATACACCCACCCATATAACTAAAGGCCGCGTACGCGATCGCCAAGTGGGAGGACGGGCCAAACGTTCCTCGAAGACTAACGTGAAATCCACTGGTAACAGGGGCGATGTGTTCTCTGTGCCCCGGCGGTTGGATCTGACTCGCAGGGTGTCTCAGGATCTCGAGGGGTAGAAGAGCCGAGGTCGGTCCTTGCTTCACCACCAGCTCCGTATTGCCGGCTGAAACGATCGCGATGCCCAATTACCAGGAAAACCAATGAAACAAATAATAAAAGACTAAACGCTCTCTCACCCATGTCCGTGAATGTGACGACCTTTAGGTACATGTGCGTCTTCATATGCAGAAAGTTCTTCGGCGGTCGTATCAGCCAAACGCAATCGTACGTTTTCACCCCTTCACCGACCATGTCCATCATGGTGATCGCTCCGCCGAGATTCTCCACGTAACCACCGCAGTCGGTTATCGGTTGCACCGACTTATCCAAAGGATGACCGATCACGAAGGAGTAGAATGCTTTGTAACCCAAACCGGTGCCACCGTTTGCGTAGAACCGTATCAATAACGACGGGCCAGAGCTCATTATTACCGGTGGACGAAACCTCGCGCCGCTGCTCACGTCCAGTCGTTGGCCGTTCCAATCGTAAAACTGCAAATACCGTATCGATCATAGCGTCGAACGACGCGTAGACATCTACCTTACCTCCATTATGGAGACGGTGGCCAGTTGAAAATCGCTAAACAACAGCCTGATGCGACAAGACGGAGCTTCGTTCGGGCACGTGACCACGTACTCGAGACCCAAATCGCGAGGATAACGAACGGGGAAGAACGGAGATGTTAAAATACCGCCGCCGGTATTGTTCAGTCCCTTAGCCGCTTGACCGGATGCCGTCAATTGAGTACCCCTTAGATGCAATCTGTTTCCTGTCGGGGCGCAATAAAATAAATGCATGAATACTCCTTCGAACTTTGTAATCTCCTCCTTCACCAACCGTCGCTTACTTTCCGCCGTGTACTCGAGCGTGAACGCGTGCTTGTGCGACTGACTGTAGAGCAGGGTGATCGACAACGTCCTCGTGCTCGATCTGTAGGTAATTGGCGCGTAGAGACCGCAAAACGGTGTTCCGGATACGTCCTCGTACGGCGGTTCCGATATCCACACGTAGTCGCATCTGAAACGCGGTGGTCGTTGAAAAATGATTTTTCTCTGACGACGTTAACAGCGTTTTTACCTGCACGGGCTATCTATCGTAACGCTACCGTCGCCGCAATGATGCGATAACGCTATGCTTTGGAACGTGACAATTATCACGCATGACGGACATGTTACCAGTTCGAGACTGCACTGAGCGTGAGAGCTATTGCTCGCGTACACCCGCGAACCATCTTGCCTCGGTTCGTTTCTCGCGAACGACACGTTCTTTGCGTACAAAATTCCCTTTTCACCCAGTTCCAGATACAATCGACGACCGTTTTGGACACCGCAGATATCCTCGTTTCTCACCACGTTGCTTTCTCCCTTCCTCACGATAGTCCACCACAGTACGGCTACGATTGCTATCGACACAAATCGTGTTTCAATTTATCGATCACCCTCGAGAAACTCTATCTTTTTCATTTTTGTATTCTCCTTTTTTTAGTTTCTTTCTCGCAAAAAAACATCTTACCGAATCGAAAGCGACGATACATCTTCTTCCGAGAGAAGGAAACGTTCTGTCTCTCGAGAAACCCATCGCGATTACCTACGTAATTTCATTAGTACTCAACGCTATTACGTATCTTCTTATTATGGTATAAAGCATTTTTACGGTATCCTTTGCGCGTTCGCTTCATCTCTCTATTCTACTCTGTCTTTCATAACCGTAGAAACTTTCGAAGCATTAAATAGATTTCGATATGTTTTATCCACGATTTGATTCGTTTTTCCCCGCGGAGCCCTCAAGGATGGCGTTTTCCAGGGACTATGTTTCCGAGCCCTTTATCGCCAAATGAACTCTATCGGCCACGCGCATGTTGAACTCCTGCCAACTTTACCCGCGCATTTTTCAAACTTTACATTAATTCCAGTTCGCTTTACAATTTACATCTGTTTCTTCGCCATACTTTTACAATTGCGTGTGTGCGCGTCCCCTTTTAGTCGCCTCTTACGACAGGCAGGGGATACCGTGGCCGTATTCTACTCCCCCCGAGCCACAGGGGGTTTTATCCACGATTCAATTTAATTGCGCGGTTTTTTTTAGTGAGCTTACGGAATCAAGCTGATAACGCGTTACCAATTCCTACAAACTACGGTCGCACGAATGATTCCTTCTAATCTCGCGTTGTTTCCTGTTGTTCTATTTATGCAACGCGACAGCTGTCTCCGATAAATACACGAGCTGTCTCGAGTATGTAATTGCTTTTTCCAATTAGTCAGTTTTTTATATTTGCCTCAATGTATCCTTGTCCTTGGTACACCTCCATTTGTTATCACCACAGACAACTTATAGCATAGATTTTAATTTTTATACGTTCGAATTTTATATCAATTGGCGCTTCTAAAACTGACTGTCAGCTCCATCTCGTGCTCGACTGCTGTTTTAAACTCTAATGAATTTCAATCGATACCCTCGCATTGCAATGTTAAAACGCGACTTCAGATGACACTGATGACGCGTACACGAAACGAAATTGTATTATTCGTTCAACGAGAGAACGTACTACCGTATACGGATCAAAATAAGTAATGAGGGACGAGGAATTGTTGAGCGAAACGCAAGAATTTTCCGACAATCCGTTAAGCATGGATTTGGTTGTCAATCCAGCGAGACAGAGATTTCCATTCTGTATAGTATGGACGCCGTTACCGATCCTATCGTGAGTAGAAACGTCACGAACCAACCTATATTCGCTGGTATTTCTAACTCGAGATGAAACATATACGTTTTTGCATGTTCTCTAGACGAATCGATTCCCGATCGAATCGCAAACGTTAGACGATTATTTCCCCTTTTGGTGTTAAGGTACTTCTTACCGTTTATCGGTCACATGGGCATTGCCACTTCTACCGGTGTGATACGTGATTTTGCTGGCCCCTATCACGTATCCGAAGATAACATGGCGTTCGGAAAACCTACCAAATACTGGCAATTAAATCACGCTAAAGCTAAAGGAGGTGTTCAAGGCTGGGATTCCGCTGTCGCGGAAGCCAGTGAAATTTATAAAACTAGGATGGTTAGTGTGTAGGCGAATTGAAACTTTTACTCCTTTTTCTATAAATACAATTTTTTTTTTTTTCACAGCATAATCTATGCTGCGACAACTGTCATTCTCACGTCGCTACAGCGCTCAATCTAATGTGCTATGATAATTCCAATAGTTGGAATATGGTAAAGTTAGCGTTTCTTATGCTAGTGCACGGAAAGTATGTGAGGTAAGATGCTCGTAATACGTAAGTTTTATCCATTTCATCATCAATGTATCTTTTTGCAGTGTTCTAGGATTTCTTAAAACTTGGGCACCGTTCTGTTTGCTCGTCGCTACTGCAACCTTGTTTTGCCTGTTTCTACGATAATTCGGGTGTCGATTTTACCCCGTTTACTCATCTTTTCGTCTCTGAAATTCTAGTTAGCCACGTCAGTCGTTTGGTACGAAAAGCCATCGTTCTGGCAGTGAAACAGCCAGCCCTTTGGTAATTTAAACTTTATTACAAACACGCATCGACTCTCTAAACTTACACTCATGTTACAGATATACAATATCGTGACACCTATGATGTAAAAGTTAACGTTGTAAAAGTTGATGAAAGAACTTAAACGTATCGATACACGATACATTACAATGCAGACGCGTCAAGTTGTAATTTTTTGTTTAAAAAAAATAAACTTATACTCGCGTTTTGTCGAGTGTACATACATATGTGTGTCCATAATTCATTGCAACACCAGAAACCTTGAGCTTTTATGAAGGCATTTTGCTCTGAATGCAAGCTGGTGCAGTGTGCACGCAAAGAAATTTGATCAGCGTCAAGACTGTTAGTGCCAAAAGAAATCACTCGTTACTTCCATTGTTCATTTCTGCCACCACGCTTTCCTCCACAGAAAAACTGTAATCGTAGTCCTGATTCCTTATTCTTTCTATAAACGAGAGCATTTCACTGATTCTGAGTTTGTCTATCTCTAAATTGTTGTTCATATTATTATCGAGGCGTTTGCACAATTTAAACGGTACTCCGTTCAGATAGTGCGCATTTTCTCCTTGATTAGATTCTATCGAAGAATCGTCCAAAAGAACTCCACTGTAATCTGAAACAGGTGGAACGGACGGATATAAATGACCGCCGGGGTACGGCAACGAGTCGTGAGCCGTGTTCGGTGGCATCGGATTTGGCCATTTGTTAACGACTACATAATCGTCAGGTTGGCCCAAAGATTGATCCTCTTCCGTGGTATCCGGTGGCGAGTCTTTGTGATGTTTCTTTCTTCCAAATAACCAAGACATTATCTGCAAAGGAAAGCTTATCGTTCACCATACAATTGTTTCGATGCGCATTAACGGACAGACGAGGTTACGCGCAGAATAAAATTTTTCCAATAGAATCGATGATAAACGACAAACAGTATTTCAACAATTATAATCGCTGATACGATTAAGAAATAAATACCAGAATTACTCACGTACGAAGGAAGGAAGGAAGGAACGAACGAACCGAAAAAATTATCAAGAGTAAAGCTTCCTCTTTAAAAATTGATCATGACTGTAACACCGTATACTTGTTTCGTTGAGTTCTCCACGTTGAAAAAGAGCGCGTATCACAGCAGGAAAACGTGAATTATTCGAAAAGCACGAATCGTTTGTGCGATCGACGAATTTAGCGTGATCGACGGAGAAATGATCGAACACGTAACCTCAATGGAACGCGATACTATCGAAAATCCCAAACACAAATGGTTTATAGGAATTTCCATTAGATGGTAGCACTGGATAGATGATCGTGTTGCGCAGGCGCGCGTGCGTGTGCGCAGATCGGAGAGAAGGAAAGAGAGCGAAAAAAATGGATAAAAAGAGAAAAGAGCAACTGCAACGTCATCGCGTTCGCAATCCCGTCGTCGGCCGAGGTCGTCGAAGGCACCTACGACAGTCGGTAGTTGGCAAGCCTGCGAATGATCCGCTAGGTTGTAGGTTAGAGATAGTCGATCGCGTAGTTGCGTAGCTAACACGGTCGTCGAATCGCGTGGAGAACTATGAATCGTTTCATTATCGTGGACAGTTGGTCAAAGTAATCGATACGTATCGAACGGTGGTGGTTGAACGGTGGAAAATCAGCGTTAGAGATTCGCAGAATCCAATTTACGCGTTCCTCGTGTCACGAAACGCATGCGTGCTACCAAGGTAACGAAGTGCATCTGGCAATAATCGGACGAGCCGTTATAGTTGGAGAAACGACATCGAGGTAGCAGCGCGATCGCATTGTTTTTATGTTTCCCGTGTGTGTACACACCATGCATATACGCTCTGTCTAAGGCGTATCGCGAGTGTCTCGCTAGTGTGTTTGTACTTTGTACGCGTCCAGTTGTTTTTCGAGTGTTTGTGGTAAAAAGAGAAATTACACGGTGTACCATCGGGGAACGTTTGAAACGTTGCTGGTTCGCAAAGGTGTGGCAGAGTTACCAGTAAGTCTCGAGGCTGGAAAATTTGCGCGGTACCGAACATCGCAGGCCCTCCTGTTCGTTAACTCTTTGGTGCGTTCCTCTTTCCACGACCGCCCTCTCTCTCTCAGTCTCACACTTCTTCCCTCCTTCTCACTCACTATTCTCTATCTCTCCCTCCTTTCTACCCTCCATTCTTTCTTCTTTCATTTCCTCTCTATTTTCTTTTGCGCTTTTCCCATCTCTGTTTCTCTCTTACCTCCTCCCACCCTACGTCCGTCTCTAGCGCTCAATCTCCCATCCCTCGTGCCTGCCCGTTCGTTCTTCCCTTCGTTCCGCTCGTCCGTGTTCCTCTCTCCTGAGAAACACTCGACGGACGAATCTACGCGTCGTATTTTTGCCACGTGTCACGCGGATCAAAACTCGATCTAAAGTTCGCTAGTTTAAACGGACGTTTAGGCGCGACGCTGTTTCGCTTCCAGTGAGATAACGTTTCTATTTTCGCGCTCTATGATTCGATTCGACTCAACTCGACTGAACTCGATTCAATTCGATTCGATGGAACGAGAAATCGAATCTTTCGTTTCGGGAGATCGAAACGACTAGGCGACGACGTATGACCGCTTTTGTGACTTTCGATCCGTTACTACTACCGCTATCGCCACTACCGTCATCACCACCACCATCGTAATCGTGGTGCGAGAAAACACTGACACACGCGGGAACACGAATACTCCGACACTGATACCAGTAGCATCATCGCCCACCGTAGTTAGGATCGCGAGATAGATAGATATTGGGTCGTTGTCGAAACTCGTAGCCCGATCTCCGAAACTAACACGAACGATTCTTTCGCGTTTTTTCCTTTTCCACTATTCGCTATCGCGGCCGGACTAGCGATAAACCGCAATGGGCAATAGCCTGTTGCCCATGCCGTTTTATCACTCGTTATGTAAATGATTTTCGTGGATCGTGTCGGAAAAATAATACCTCGGTGTTGTGCGACATTCGGACAAAACACTTTTCTTCCCCACATCCGTGGACCTGTTGTTTTCCGTTTCTTAAAAAATATCTAGCAACGCGTAACGCGATGGCGGCGTAACTAACGCCGGAGATTTCGGCGCGAAAATCGTATCGAAAGCAAGTTCACTCGCGCGCAGCAGGTGATTTTATTATCATTTATTTAATAACCATCTCGAAAGGGCTGAAATACTTATCTCCTATACTTAATCTACCTAGAAGGAATGCGAAAACTGCACGCGCCTAGTTATTTTTCACATAGCGTCGATCAATCGACGCGTCGTGCATGATTCGAAACGAAACGAAGATGGACAACGGAACGAAACGGAACGGGACTAAACGAAACGGTTCGACTGTAGAGACAGGTCGAAGCGTTAAATATATAGGTCAGGAGGATATCCCGATGATCAGCGTGGAGTGCAAGATTAACCGCGTATTAATTAAAATTCCTAATGATAAAGCTTGCGAAACGAGGATCCGATGGAATTTTCGTGAAAACACGAAGCGATCATATGGGGGGTTGTAGAATAAATGGCCGCGATTCGATCGCGAAACTCGTGGCTGTGGCAAATTGTGCCGGCGGCGTTGTACAAAAGGCTGTTTGTTCGCGTTGCAGGGGACAACGCATGCGACGAGCAAAGAAGAGGGTTACGACGTTCCGGTGTTCACGGTAAATGCGCAGGGTACGGTGAATGTTGGAGGAAACAGAATGTCCAGCGAGCAAGCGCGAGCCAGCGCCGTCGCGACCAAAGGTAAGTTGTCGCGTTCCTCGCGGTATCGGCTTCTTCGAACCCCCCAACGTTGCCCCCCTCGTTGTTCTTCTCGTTCTCCGATCGCTCGAACGAGAGCGGAACGTGCGCGGAGCAGCAAAGAAAGGAGAAAAATACTCTTTCTTTCGTCCCTTCGAAAGGAGAAGCGGCCGAGGTCATCGACGAGGCGACCCAGAGTTTTGCGGTTGACGGTGGTATTCTAGCAGCGTGGGAATCGAAAGATCGCTAAGTCACGCTCGATAACCGGCAGCTTCGTCGACGTCGAAACTTCCGGTTCGCTTTTACGGTTGCGCTATCGATAGGATTCGGGTAGGTGAAGTGATCCGAGCCGAGGGGATGTCGGCGGTATACGCGAGGCTCGTTGGATCGAGAAATCGTTGGCGCGCTCTCAACCTTAACACGGAGCTTTCATTCATCGTTTCGTATATATTTTCGATCCGTGCCACCCCTTCCCTCTCCTCTGGCGATCGCAGTCTCGTTGCCATTCAGCATCGAGACGAATCGTACGCGCGCATAGATCATCAGCGTGGCACGCGACGGCCGCGTCGCGACGCAGCGCGACCAGATTGGACGCGATTCTGTGAGATAGGCGACGGTGAACGGGGAGGGAGTAACGGAGAGGCACGGGGTGGGGATCAAGACAGAAGGAAGAAGATAATAAATATTTCGAAAAGCGGAAAAGAGCGGGCTCAAGGTGGACGGTAGAGACAGGTGGATTCTGCGCCCGGTATTTCGTGGTCGATGGTTGATCGTTAAGTCGGCTCGAACATAGAAGCCAACGACTGACGGCAAGAGAGGCGCGGCGTAACGTTGTTGCTCGGCTTCTCGAGCTTTCTATTTTTAGACGGCCCGATCGAGTATACGGGCATCGTCAAGGCCGTGCGTTGCGAAACGATTATCGGTGGCACATGTTGCGCTCGCGCTACCAACCGTACCCGCCTCGCTCTTCTACACCGTCGCCAGTCTAATTGAATCGGATCGAATCGGGATTCTCCCGCGATTCGTTCGCGCATCCGACGGACCGGAAGTGCGCGACGTTGACTATCGTTTGTTCGATCGAACGGCGCATTCGCCGGTCGAAGAATCGGCCGGAGGAGCGTCCGCGAATTTCGACACCGGGACGTAAGCGAGACGCTGACTCCGCAGGATCGACCAGTATCTTCTGTAGGCGTGGAGGCTGGCGGTTATCAGAATAAAAAAGATCCCCAACGCCTTGATCGTCATCGCTTTTCTCTCGTCGTGCTCCGGACTCGCTGTCCACAATAAAAATTCCACCACGTCCTTAGCCATTTGCGACTCGGTCGCCGGCGTGCCGTCGTCGTACTCGAGCATGCCCTGGTAAAGCAACTAAACACCGAAACCGATAGAAGAGTTAAAGAGGGAAATTTTATGCCCGTCGCGTGAACGTACTTGAGGCATCGTCGTGAATGCACCGGGAAAGTAAATGTTAAAGTATTGGCCTTCCTCCGGTCGCACGCCCGCCGGCGGTTCCATGAATCCCGTCAGCAGGGAGAAGACGTAATCGATGCCGCGTTTCCGCGCGTACACCAGGAAAGTCAGGTCCAGCGGGTACGCGCCAAAGTTCGCGGCTCTGGCGGCTTCCTCGTTCGGATAAGGAGGCGGAATCCTGTCGATTAATTTCGCGGGTCTGGTGAAGTAGTTACCCTGATCGTCGGGACCGTCCTCCACCTATTCCAAAATGAGACGCGTTTCTGTTTTGGAAAAATCTTGTCTCGACAAGGAAAGGGAGAAGTCGAAAATACCGGGCGAACCTCGAATTCCGCGGCGATCGCTTTCGCCTCTTCTCTGGTGTGAGTCGCGTCCACCAGGTCCATGAAACGAACGTATCGCAAACTGTGACACGTGTTGCAGACGGTACGATACACTTGCCACCCTCTTCGGAGAGCCGCGTGATCGAAGCTCTTCAGGGTTCTGTTGAACATCCAGGGATACCTCGGCAACGATATCTCGTGCTCGTGCGCCTTGACCGATCGTTCGAGATAACAGAGAACGGTCCCGCAACCGGCTATCAATCCCGCCAGGACACCCAACCGCCTCGTTTTCCCGCGAATCGACAGCCACCTACGCTCCGCTCCCTTCTCCGATGGATTCAACTTACCGCGTGATACCGAGAAAACTCGATTAACCTTAGCTACCGCCATCGCAGGCGTTGCGTTTTCCGTCTGCGACTCACGCTCGACGAGAAATGATCGAAACAAAGTAGGATCGCGTCGACGATCACTCGCTTGCACCCTCCGTTCTAGCGATCTTTTCAGGCTGCGGACCGCGCCTACCTTCGTTTCTCTCGCAGACTTCGATCATCGGAGTACGCACGATCGCGCGTTTCTTCGTTTCTAAACGCAACTCGTGGTTACGTAACCCGCGAGCCAAGTTACACAATCTTTTACAATAAAGGCGATGAATATATTTCCGCGGCGTTATAAATAAAGTACTCGGTTATGCTTGGCATTATGCATTCGCACATATTAGCGCCTCGTATACGAACGGAGAGAGGTGGTCGCGGTCGCGGTCGTGGTCGTGGTCTTGATCGCGGTCGCGGCCGCGAGCGCTGGATCTTTCGATATCGAAATGTCGAAATTATCCCGTTACCGATTAACCAACGTCAATTTCATGACCGCGTGAACGCGATTTACGGAATTGGTCAAGAGTAGGCTGGCGCTCGATAGACGAAAGACGCGGCGGCGATAAGGTTGTTACGGATGATAATGCTTGTGTCCACCGGACCGATCTAATAATAGGTACGTACGTATCGATCCGCGTCACCCGCCACGGCAAACCATTATTCTCGCTCTCGGTCTCGGTCTCGGTCTCGGTCTCGCTCCCGCCTCCGATCTCCTACCCTTTCGTCTCCTGTCGTATCGTATCGTTACGTAGCGAAAGCTCCGTCGAAGGGGTCGGAATCGAACTCGACGGAGAGACGAAGCGACGAGGTCGTTATCAAACGGCGCGTCGCGGCGCACCGAACGAGCCGCTATTTATATCCGCGTTCCACGCGCTTCGACGATGATACGCGTCCCTCGGATTAACCCGATGCCCGGTGGACGCGTTTTGTTTTCGCTAGGGGCGCGCGCGAAATCGCTGGACGAAGGAGGAAGGCAAGGGGAACGAGCCAGCTACCCGCGTTCGCTTTCGATCTCGTCACCTCGTTGAAAGGTTGGAACGAGGTCGCGTCTAAGAGAGAGAGGATCGCGTTTTGTCGCGTTGAAATCGATCGCGTTACCGCTCGATAGGTTCTCGCGACGCCTACGTTCGATTCGCGGCTGAGAGGTAACGGGCAGCGAACGTGGTCGGGACGCGCGTCGAAACAGCAGTGCGCGCGTAAAATAGCCTCTTCGAGTTTATTTTCATCGGCTCCATTTATTTTCGCTCGGTTTACCGTTTCCCAAGGATGTTTCCGAACGGTCTGCGGAGCGTGGCCGATAACGCAAAGTCGTGGCTCGGCGCGTTTCTCTCGAGGTCGCTGCATCCGTCGACGGTCGATCGTCGAGATCGATACTCGGGTTAGGGAAAGAAGGTCGGTTTTGCCTCCCCCCCCTCGTGGGCAAGGTGCACGCGAGGATGCCGTACGGGCAAACAGGAACGCAAAGGCCCGCGATGATCCATATATTTGGGATCTATTCGGAGCCGAGTTTTGGTCCGTTGCCAAATCTATTTTTCCGAGCGAAGGCGGGATCGCGTATTGTACCCGTGCTAATTTCGTCGCATCGTAACGCGCTCCATTCCCGAGGTGTGGGCGGTTGGTTGGCTGGGTGAGTGGGTGGCGTTGGTCGTTCGTAGCGCGACTTTTCCAATCTACTACGAGCTCTTTTGTATTTCCCTCCTATACCTATCTCTCGATTTCGATGAATTCCAACGGCCGATCAATACGATTCGAGTGAATTGTAAAGATACCAAACTGCTTCGACTATTTTTCACCCCTCGGATCTTACCCTCCGCAATTCGCCTTTCGCGATGGACACCGGGACGGAAACGAATAACGCGCCGATCGATCGCCACGGCTATTTCTATTTTTATCGCAACGACCCGTTGCTACGCGAGCAAGCACGGTTCGTCGCGGCCGTTCCTCGTCGATCTAGCTTTCGCGATCTGAACCGCTCGATTTCTTCTCCTCTTCGCTCTACGTTCGCGCCTTTTTCCCCGTCGTCTTTCCCGTACCTCGCGGTTCGTTTTCCTCCGTTGGCCGACGACGGAACGCTGATCGTCGGCGTCGCGTAGGTGGCGCTAAAGTTCGGACACGCGTAAACTTCGCGGACAAGGTGGGAAGCGACGGGAGGGGGTAGTAAACATAACCCAGATTCAGGAACGGTGGCAGCCGTACCAAGGGAGACGAAAGGAACGCTCGAAACCGATAACCTAGCCCAATAACGCGTGCGTTTCGATATCGCATCTCGGATCCATTGAAAGGTCATCCTATCGCGAACGTCTGGATCCCATCCGTTTCCATCCGCTCTTCTCATTTTCTTTCCTTTCCTTTCCTTTCCATTCCATTCTTTGTCTCCCATTTTTTTTCTCTTACTTTGGATCGAACCGTTAGCGGCAGCGGTCGTCGGCTGTGTTTCCGATGAGTCAGTAGACGAGGCGCGTCGTTGCGGCCCGTTAGGGTGGCGCCAACGCGACACGTTTTACTGCCGTTTGAAAATACCGCGAGAACCGATACGATCGAGCTTCCGCGTTTACTTTTACTTTCTCGCTCTTTTTCTAGTTTCCACGCGCAACGTAAAACCCGAGCAACTCGCGTTTTCCTGTTACGCGATCTACTCCCACCGCCTTTCCTACTCCGCTACGAAAAACACGAACGTTGTACGCACCGCGAATATTAATGCGTGTTTTTGCACGCGTAGACGTTTATTTTTGCTCGTATTTTTAGCTGTCGGTATTTTCGAACGGGACCGCCACTATTTTTGTCCTAACGCGCCATACGGCGTATTACCGAAAGACCACCTACGAAGCGAATCCTCCCCTCCCCGGCTTCGAATTCACCACCGTTTGTTTCGGCCGCGGGGAAGAATCGAGCGGGAACAGGGACACGGCTACGGTCACGGGAACACGGCATCTCCGGTTCACCCCGTTCCAGGCCGAGGAATTCGATGTGGAATCGGTCTAACGTAGGACGTCGCGAGCCTTCGGACGTTCCGAACGCTCGTATCGATTCAGCTATTTCGAGCGGAAGGTAGTTCACGGTATAATTGCGCCAACACGTAATTAAACGGAGTTACGTGATCAACTACGCAAATAAACGGCGTGTTTCGAGTTGGTCGCGCAATTACGACCACCGACTCGCTCGAAAGATGGAAAAATTCGCGAACCGTCGAACGGTTACCGCTCGAGGACCGATGAGAAACTCCCTTCCGCGATTCCGGCTACGATTCGCGAAAGGGATGAGATATATAAAAATAGAAATGATTTTGGACGATTAGTGGAAGAAGGAAAATCGAGGGGTTGCGAGTCGATCCGTAACGAATTGCCGTTCTCGTTCGAGTCTACCCGAGCGCTATTTCGAAGGGGTGAAAGGGCCGTAGCTAGGTAAGCCGCTAAAAATAACGCCGGTACATCATATCGAGCGGTCGTCTATAAATAGTTGCAAGTGACGAGAGACCCTGGATGGATTAGAGTCGCGAGCGACGTTGCCCACCACGCGCCATCTTTTAGAAAAATTCAAAACACCGACACACCTTCGAACGTTTGCCCTTCTCTAGCTCTTGTTTTTCTCTGTCCGTGTTTCGCGATTCCGGTGGTAGCGCGGTAGGATTAAAGGGGATGAAAGCAGGGACCACGCGATGGTCCCGATGGTACCAACAGAAATGTAGGCATCCATTTGCAAAGGAGAAGGGGTAGCCGAAGGTGCCGAGATTTTTCCCTCAAACTATGACCGCGTTGTTTCGCTATCGGCTCTTTCGGTCGATCGATACGCTTTGTTGGGCTTTAAGGTGGAGCGAGGAAGCGGAGGGAGTTGGTCCGAGAAGGGGTGACCTTGCCACCTATTTTCGGAAGGTAGCTTTCTCGTGACTCGCCGTCTCGGAGGCCTTCCTTCTTTCGAATGGAAAGGAATCGAAGAAATTCGGCGAACCGTAACGGCGCAGAAGGGGGATGAACGACGGGGGGTAAAAGTATCGATCGATTCGAAACGGTACTTTGGAAATACCCAACGACCCTCGTGGTCCTGCTCGTCGAGGTACGAAACGCGTCGCACCGGTTGGCTAGAAACCACCTGCTCTCGCTTTTTCGCAACGCCATCGCGACGCGTTATCCAACTCCTGGAACACTGTCGTTGCGTAACGAGCGAATAAATTGCATCGGATGCGGCAATAAGAATCGAGAATAAGTTTAAACCGCGGACGCTCGGATCGACGATTACCCTCGAAGTAACATCCCCGTCGATTTAAGTGATTCCAATGACGAAACTCACCCTCGCCAAACTATCTGTTACAATTTTCGATAGAGTTCGCCGGGGCGAAGTGAATTGGCCGGTGTCTGAATCGCGGACGATGAAAGAATCGAGGGAGGACGATAGAGAAGGGGATGAAAACGCAATGACGCTAACGGAACGGTCGGCGATCGGTCTTTCAGAAATTGGTGAGCGTGAAACGGAAGAAAGGAGAAGTGGAATTACGTTATCGATGATACCGGACGAATAGATGGATAGATAAATGAATAGGAAGAGAAAAAGAGACAGGCGAACGCAACAATACCGGGTGTCTATAAATAGCGGAGATTGTAGAGTCTTGCGAAGCACGGCGCTGGCGTCGTCGGCGGTGTCCTCGCGGAATAACGGCGACGCGACGGAGGAAAGGGAATCGCGAAAGAAGCGGCTGAGACGCGCGGCTCGTACAGTTTACTTTGGACTTTCGCGGTGTGCTCGATAGCTGGTCAACGGTGTCCGCCAGACGGTTTTGTTCGGTGTCATCGGTGGTGAGAAAAAGTGACGGTGTTGCGGTACAATACCGTGCGATGCACGCCCTGACAAGGCGCGCCTTTACCTCGCGAATCATCAACCCTTCGCTCCGAAAAGAGACGCATCCTCGCGAAGGATGAAGGAGGACGCGTATCCTCGCGCGCTTTTCCATTCCAACTCGACGCTTCGTCGTTTTCCTCTTTCCTTTTCATCCCTTTGTTGCTGTCGTTGCTCGATTCTCGAGTAGCCACGCGTCTCGCGTCGCGACGTCGAGCATCGTTTCGAAAGGTAAACTATCTTTTTTCTCCTTCCCTTTTCGCACCCGTGTCTCGCGTCGCGTCGATTAGGGTACCGTTTCCGACGTCGCGCACCGGACCACCTGTTGTGCTTGATCGTAACAACGGAGCCCCGACTGCTGCTCGATAGTACACGGTGTGCGGTTTACATTACGGGAACACTAGCTACAAACTCGACGCGACGGTTCGTTGCGTCACCTGTGTCGTTCACCCGTCTTCGTTTCCGTCCTGGGCATCGTCAGCGCGTCGCAAACGGGATAAAAAGGTGACGAGAAATCGAGGAAAGAAGGAAAATGATGGAAGAAACGAACGAAAACTAGGAGACAGATTTCCTCGGGCAAGTTCGAAGACGATTTCGAAAACTCGTCAGGCGACGAACTTTATCGGGAACAAAGATGCGTCGTCTTTGCCGAACTCGGGAATAAAATGGACAAAAGATTCGGGACGAATCGCGGTGGTCGCGAATTGAATGCGAAGCGACGGAGAAACCGAAACGTGGCTGACGTCACTGGAATCATTCGCGCCACTTAGACCGAGTCACGGGATCAATTTAGAACGCGAACAAACGGTCAAGTACCGCCACTGTCGGCCGAGAAGTTTTTCGTCGCTTTAACCCGCGAACTGAACCCGAGCTTCTTTCGATCGATCTTTCTACAAAATCGGAGCGCAATGTATCGTTGTTCCTTCGAACGATACGGTATCGACGGTAGTTTCGCGCGTTTCCTCTTAGCCGTGTCGTCGGGGTCGTTGGTCTTCCTTCCTCTTGGTCGTTCTATCGAGGAAATCGAGCGTGCGCCACCCACGCGGTCGCGCCTCCTTCCCTCGACTCTCCTTCCTCTTACAGAGGAACGCGATCCATCATTTCCTTTTCTCTTTTCTTCTTTTCGAAAGAATCGCGACGAGAGAAAGAAAATCGCGCGCTTTCGTTCCGCGATGATCGGGGGTGGAAGAGGAGCGTAAGTTTCTCGCGTTTAGTACGCGCGTATATAAATGTCATCCTATATATAGCGATCGTTCGACTAATCTTAGCTAGTCGGCCACCAGCCAGCAGGAACACGCGTAAAAACTTGCCACGACTCTGATCGCACGTTTCTCCTCTCGTTTCGCTGCCTGCCGCGAATCGACTTCACGGAACGCGGCCTTTCCGCTCGAATATTTTCCCTTTCGAACGAACGCGCGCTGACCTTTCTCCTTCTCTCTTTCTCTACCTCCACTGACCTACGCGCTGACCGACATTCGTGGTCCTCGACAGAGGCGGCGCGATTCCTCGCTGACGACGACGGGGAAGCTCCGTTTTGCGCCCGCTTATGGACGACGAGGGTTTTGGAAAATGGCGCGAAACGCGTACTTGGATCGATGCAAGCTTAATTACCGTACCATGAATTCGGGAGTTATTCGCGTGGACGAGGGGGCAGGGGAAAGGAAGATCGTTCTCGTTCGAAGGAACGTCGATCGCGACGCGGTAACAGAAGCGGCCGGCACTCCGGTCCGCGCCAAGCAAACAGGAGAAGAAGGAAGCAAGAGCAAAGCAAGCGTCGGAGAACGGCCCTCCTCCGCGATTAACCTTGGACTTGACTCGGAGGAATGCAGCGTGCAGTGACCCCTGCTCTCGCTCGCTAACTCTCGACGTTCGTCGGTTTCAGCTCGCGCTCTCTCACCTTTCCTCCGTTCATGCCCCCTTTCCTTCTCTTTCCCTTTTCCCTATTTCCCCTCTGCACAACCTCTTCCATTTCGTACGAATCCAAACTTCTCGACTCGATATCCCGATTTCTGGGAAAACGCGAAAAATCCGCGCCAGACGAAGAGGGATATCGCAAACGTTAAAACGATGCCTTTGTGTTTGTTCCAGAAGACGTGGGTTACGGAAGCGTCGAAATCGCGTCCGCGTTTACCCATCTGCCACAGAAAGGTAAGGATTAGGGAGAGGAAACGCGAAGCGATCGAGCGCGTTCATTTCCTCCCGTTCTTCTTCTCTTGCTCCGCTTCCTCCGACTCGGTGAATCGAAACATTGACTACTTTGCCCTTGCTTCTCTTTTACCTGTCGACCACAGGCCCTGGTCGAATTCACGCGGGCAACGGTCGGACGAAGCGCGAGGAAATAGGAATGGAATGAAGAGAAAGGAAAGGAAAGATAAGGTGGTTGTCGCGCGCATGACGCATCTAAAAATAAGCGCGCTATCGAGCCTCGAGCTCCTCCTCTACACCGTTTTAACGATCAACGACGACTGTTATGCCGTCGTTTTCGCGGTCGCCCACGTCCTCGCCGTCTTCCGATCGTCCGTACGCGAATCCCTAGTCGATCTCCTTTTCCCCCTGTGATCGACCGAGAGGTAGAGAAACAGGAAGCGAAAGAGGAAGAGGAAGAGGAAGAGGAAGAGAAGGAGAAACCTCGTGGTCGTAGCGCGGTTCTTCTGCTTCTGTGTCTCCTCTTCTTCTTCTTCTTCTTCTTCCTCCTCCTCCCTCTTCTTCTTCTTCTTTTTCTTCCTGTTTGAAAGACGAGCGGTCGTGTATGCGCAGAAATGGCCAGGGACACGCCGGGCTCACCGATGTCTAGGCCGAGAGAGCTGGTCGGCGGAGTTGGCGGTGCTGCGACCACCTTGACGTCCAGCGCGTATCACACCGCCTCCACCGATCCAACCGCCCTGCACGGTCACGCGCTCCAACAAAAAATACTCGAGGTAACGTATCTCCTCTCTCTCTCTCTCTCTCTGTCTCTTTCTCTTTCTAATTTCTCCTCTCTCGGTGCACGCTCCAGCTCTCGTCGTTGTCGTCGTCGTCGTCGTCGTCGTCGTGATCGTCGTCGCCGTCTTCGTCCTCGTAGTCGTTTGAGCGGAACGCCGCGAGAAATGGGTATCGTTTCCGCTTCCCGTAGCCGCGTGTTCTCCTCGCCGCGTTCTCGCGGCTTTTCGCCCTGTCGCGTCACGGCTATCCTCGTGTTTTTCGACCGACGGATATATATTTTTCTGGCTATAAATAAAGCGAGGATACCGTTTTCTCGCGCGTCGCGTTCTCAAAGCGTTCGCTAACTTCGGCGTCGGTCGCGCGTTATTTTTAAACTCGAGCTTAAACGCGTGCGTACGCGCGTACGAGCCACGCCGCGAAAGCGTCGTCTGGGTCATGCGCGCGCTATTCGCCACGGTTTCTTCCGAAAAAACGCATTCGATCGTACGCTTTGCCGATCAATCGTCTCTAACCAGAAACCGTTACGATTCTCTGCTTTCAGCTGCAGCAACACCACCAGCTTCAGCAGCAGATACTGCGACAGCAGTACCAAGCGCAGGAACGACAATTGGCCGAGTTGCACGAGCAACAGATGCATCAGCTGAAGGTGAGCGCGTATCGCGTGAATCAAACGCTATACCATTCTCTATCATCTGTTTCTCCATTCTCTCTCGTTCCTCTTTCTCCTCCTCCGCCTCCTCCACCAACAGATTATCCTCGTTCGACGATCGAACATCGCGCCCGTTCCCCCATTGTCTTCGAATCGTTCCGAGTCAAAAGTCCATCGGAATATTCCTTCGGTCGCGTAAACTCGACCGAGGCGGTACGCGACGCGAAGCACGCCTGTACGGATGCGCGAGTGACGCGCGAAAGAATAACCCGTTACTCGCGTCCGTCCGCGCCAAAACGAACAGATTCCACTCGTCCCTTCTCCCTCTCCTTTTCTCATTCACCCATTCACTCTCGTTCGTTCGTGATTTTCGAACCGCGGAGGAAATGATTCTAACGACTGATCGATTCCTTCATTTTCAGCTATGGGAGCAGCAGAAGCAATTGGAAGAGCAGAGGAGGGAAAAGGAGAGGCTCGAAGCGCTCAGGAAAAAGGATAAGCACGATCACAGCGCGATCGCCTCGACGGAGGTCAAGCAACGGCTTCAGGTACTTGATGATGCCGGGCGCGAGCCGCGGATCCAGTAACGAATTGAATAAAATAGAATAGACGGCGCAGGTGGTTCTTGTGCTTTGCGAGAAAGTTTGAATTAAACTTACGATTTCAGAGCTTCCTTGTGAACAAAAAGCAGAGGGAGGCTGCGGCCGCTGCGAATGGAGCGGTACCTGGTACACCCGGATACAGGAGCTGGTAAGATTCTCCAGATTCCTCTCGTACCTAAAATCATGAAAATTAATTAAACGAATGAATGTAAATTTGTGGAACAGGTTGCAACCGCAGTCGGAATCGGCAGGCACCGTCAACTCCTCGCATCCCTACCGGATGCCGCAGATGCTGCAGGAAAAGTTTGCCGACGACTTTCCTCTACGGAAAACAGGTAGATATACGCGTTAACGCGCATACGTGCTCTACGATACAATAATATATCCCCGTGGTGTCGAGTGATACGCATACTTGGTGAAAGGTAGTCTCTCTTTCTATGTGTGCCTATGTACGATAGTAGAATGCCTACTAAAGCATGGTTTTTTGCGATCCAACCATTTTGCCTGTACGAAGCAAACGCGTACCCTTGTTCCTATTATGTATCGCCTCCCTTCGCGTACAACCCTTGAAAAAGATTGAAATACCCTGAAATTCTTACCTCGATTCACTCTTTCCTTTCTTCCTTCATAATTCACTCGCGACATCCCTTTCCTCGTTTTTCGCCACCGTTTCGCTCCTCCGGCCCCCTTACGTGGACACCAACGACTAACCCTGGCTAAACTTGGCCAGCCTCGGAGCCGAATCTGCTGAAGGTGCGATTAAAGCAACGCGTGGAGAGGAACATGGCAGCGTCGAGAAACTCACCCCTGATGGCACGCCGGAAGGATCGTCTGCTGTCGCACCTGAAACGGAAATCACTGCTAGCAAGTACGTCCTCCTTCGATCGAGCTTAATCGGACTTTCGTTCGATCTCGTCGATCTTTCTCGACTCTTCCTGTGCGTGAGCATCAGCCAAACGATTCGTTGCATCCGTGTTCACGATTAATCGATCGTTGATTTTTTTTTTCTTTTGCCTTTTCTTGCAAGTGTCCAAGTAACAGCATGTAATCAGACAGTTACCGATTACCAATTGCCGATCATTAACAAAATTTCGAATACGATGAGAAACAAGAAAAAATTGAGAGGATTTATTTGTCGAAGCGTGTTCGCGCACACTTTGCTTCTTTGCCGTCTCCGCTCGTTCTCTCATTCTCGTTCTCTGAAAACGCAGACCGAGAGGAGGAAGGGGTAGAGTGGGAAAGAGAGAGAAAGAGAGAGACAGAGAGAAAACGGAGGGGCTCGCTCGAATTTCATTCTCGTTCGCGGACACGTCACAGACAAACCGCGACGACGCTCATCGACGCAACGCTGATAAAAACTTTTCCAGATTCTAGCAGCAATCCAGAGTCCGGGCCTAATTCACCGCCGACCGTCAACAATTCCCAAGCGAGTCCTACCGCGGCCGGCAACGCGACGGCCATTCAAGAGGTGAGACATATTATTACCTTTGAATCTTTCACGATCTCATTATTTCACCGTTCTTGGTTACGATTTTGATATTCTCTCCAGGAGACCGAAAACACCGGTTACGGCGGTCCTTTAACCAGCAGCAGTCAACAGGGTAGTCTTTCGGATCTGTCGCTGTTCAGTTCACCGTCCATGCCAAACATCTCGCTCGGTCGACCTCACGTTCCGACCGGATCCGGCACGGTAAAAAGTCTACCGGATTGCGTTCATTTGGACTATCTACGTACCTGTTCCGTACGTTCTACGTTCGACCGTGTTTTGCAGAGCGGCACGAAACTGGCGACCGTCTCGGAGGCAGAGGTGCGAGCAGCGTTTACCGCACGGCTAGGTATGCCGCTCACGGGGCAAATGTTACCCGGCACGTTGCCGTTCTATCCGTCGTTGACAGTGATCGAAGGAGATCCGCCGTCGAGTGGCGGCGGTGGTGGCGGTGGAGGTGGGGGTGGAGGTGGAGGTGGTAGTGGCGGCTTCGTTCATAAACAGATGCAGCAGAACATGGAGCATCATGCGAATAGGCAACACCCGTCCTCGGTTTATCACGCGGCTGCTGCGGCTGCGGCTGCGGCAGCAGCGGCCGCCGCCGCCGCAGCATCACCCATCACGGACACGCAAGTAGCGCACGCGAGACTGCAAAAGGCTGGTCACCGGCCTTTAGGTAGTATGTTCTCTCTCTCTCTCTCTATCCTTCCTCGCCACCCTTCGAACGTTCGTCCGACGTTCGTACGACCGTCCGTTTGTCGTTGCCTCCTTGTCCACAGGTAGAACTCAATCCGCCCCGCTGCCACTCGGTCATCCGATGCTGCAAGGCGGTATGATCGGACCGCAGACCCATTACGAAGAGTACCTGGCGGAGAAACAGCTTCACGATCAACAGCAAGCGCACAATTATCTGAAACAACAGATACGTCAAACGGTGTTGACGCGGGTCGGTTCTCGCGGTCAGACTAACCAGTTGGACGAGGCACCCGAGTCCGAGGAATCGGAGGTGATCGATCTGACTGGAGGGAAGAAGGAGCATCCGTCGGAGGAGAGCGAAATCTCGAAACAGCAACGGGATCGGGAGCAATTTCTTCAGCAACAGAGGGATCTGATGATGAGGCACACACTGCAGCTCTCGAACGAGTCGTCCGCGGCCTACGGTGGAAGCAGGAGCGGTCAATCGAGCGCACGACCGTTGTCCAGAGCGCTCTCGAGCCCGTTGGTTCACCTGGGTAAGAGAAAACCGAATTATCGTTTGTCGTGTAGTCTCGAGCTCTATACCTAACCTTGGTGTATCCGCAGGTCCTCAGGGAAGCGGGGAACTGTTTGCGCGAACCTCTTCCTCTCATCGACCGACCACCGGTCTGGCCTACGATCCACTGATGCTGAAGCACGCATGCGTATGCGGTGAAACCGTACGCGGTCATCCCGAGCACGGGGGCAGGTTGCAGAGCGTCTGGGCCCGGCTGTCCGAGACCGGCTTGCTACAGAGGTGCGATCGAATACGATCGCGGAAAGCCACCCTCGAGGAGATTCAAACGTGTCACAGCGAGGCTCACGCTCTTCTGTTCGGTGAGTCGACTCCGCGCAATCGGCTCTCTACCATCCTCCTCCCTCCCCCTCCTCCCTACTCTATGGTGTAAACTTTATTTTGCCGCGTCGCTATCTTCCACCCACGATTTGTTCGCGGTCGGACAGACAGACAGACAGAAAGTAAGGTGTGCTTCGCGCAGGAACGAATCCGATGAATCGGCAAAAGTTGGACGTGTCGAAGCTCTCTCAGCTGCCCATCAAGAGTTTCGTGCGACTGCCTTGCGGCGGAGTTGGCGTCGATTCCGACACTACGTGGAACGAATTGAATACCGCGCCAGCCGCCAGAATGGCCGTCGGTTGCGTGGTCGACCTCGCCTTCAAAACCGCCATGGGCGACATCAAGAACGGTTTCGCCGTCGTACGACCACCGGGCCATCACGCCGAAACCAATCAGGCGATGGGATTCTGCTTCTTCAACTCGGTCGCGATCGCTGCGCGATTGCTTCAACAGAAGCTTGACGTTCGGAAAATTATGATTTTGGATTGGGTAAGAGAGCCCTTCTACTTCTTTCTACTTTGTTCACCCACTCTCTCAACCCACCACCACCCTCATTCTTCCTTCTCCCTTTCACCCCTTTCTCGTTGTTCCGTCATATTCGAACGTGTGTAATGTACACCTACGTAATAAAAGCAAACTCGTAACATTGACGCGTATACCCAGAGTCCGCTTATTTTACCTTTAGGACGTCCATCATGGGAACGGAACGCAGCAAATGTTTTACGACGATCCGCAAGTGTTGTATCTGTCGATACACAGGCACGACGAAGGTAACTTCTTCCCGGGAACCGGAGGTCCGACCGAATGCGGAGCCGGAGAGGGTTTAGGCTACAACGTGAACGTGGCTTGGTCAGGTGGATTGAATCCACCGATGGGAGACGCCGAGTATCTAGCTGCTTTTCGCACGATCGTAATGCCGATCGCGAGGGCGTTCGATCCGAGTATCGTTCTTGTCTCCGCGGGATTCGACGCCGCGGTTGGACACCCGGCGCCTCTCGGCGGCTACAAAGTAAGCCCGGCCTGTTTCGGAAAGATGACCCAACAGTTGCTCAGTCTGGCGAACGGTAAGGTCGTCCTCGCTCTCGAAGGCGGCTACGATCTCGCCGCCATATGCGATTCCGCCCAAGAATGCGTCCGAGCTCTCCTCGGAGACGAACCCAGCCAGCTTCGGGACGAGGAATTGACTAGGATACCTTGTCAGAACGCGATCGACACGCTGCAAAAGACTATCGCTGTACAGGTACGAATACGCGGGTTTCTTACCCTCCTACCTATTCGAATCGCTTCAACTTTATATTTCTTTTTCGAGCAGATGTCGCATTGGCCTTGCGTGAAACTAAACGCGCACACGGCGCCGATGAGCGCCATCGAAGCCGGCCAGAAGGAACGCGACGAATCCGAGACGGTCTCCGCGATGGCCTCCCTCTCGATGCAGCAGCCTACCAATTTAACGTAAGTCAACTTATTTCTTCTTCGAGCTATTCCCCTCGATCCGACGTTTCTTTTTTCTTTTTAGGACTACCCCAGAACATTCCCGCGAAGTTTCCGAAGAGCCCATGGAACAAGACGACGCCAAATGAAAGCAGAGCTTTCCGTTGCGCGATTCGCTTTGGAGACTGTTGTCGTCGCGAAACGATCCTCGTCCCGTTCGTGTCGCGTCGTGAAACGCGAAGAAGCTGCGACACGACGGGAGATCGTTGTCTGCCCCCCAGCCGTCTGCTTGCTGCGTTCCTCGCATCGGCCAATCGACAGCGACGAATGTTCGCGCGCCCTTAGCTCTTTTGCTTTTTTTTTCCTCTCGTTCAAAGCCCGACCGCCTTGCCTTCGATCCTTCTCGCGAAGGAAAGCGTCTACCAAAATCACGAATGTTCTTAATGAATTTTTCATTATCCGATTTTCGTTGAACCCGCGCAAAAGACAGTAGCGTTAAGTGTTTAGTACTCTTTCATTTCCGTAATTACTCGTTCGCCATTCTCTACCTTTTTATCGTTTCCTCGAAGTTGCGCGACTTTTGTCGATATTATTGGGTAACCGATCGTTTGAAAATGAACTTGCAAGCAGAGTCGAAGGAGTATAGGGAGGAGGAGGATATGCATGGTCGCGCGACGAACAACAAGAGATAGAAAGGGGTCGTTTCTTTTCTATGTGTTGTCGTCGTCTCTCTTCGGGCAGCATATCGCGATATTTTGGTTGTTTCGTTGCGAACAAAGGCTGGTGTGATTTTTGTGATATTTTGTAAGAAAAAAACAAAAAAAAAACAAAGAAAGAAATTTGACGAAATACACTTAGTCGAAGGTGTAAATGCACGCGAGAGTGTGGTAGAGAGCAAAGGAGCGAATGAACGAATAGAGTGTACGAGCGAGTGATAAGAGAAAGCATATACACACACGATTGAAATACGAGCATTTATTTTTGTGTCGTGCATTTTACGAGAACACGAAGAAAAAAAGAAAGAAAAAAAAAAAGATTTTAAGCGAATCTGTTGATCGATTAACGATCTCGCCAGATTCCGTTCGTTCGCGTATACGCGTGTACGCGCGTATCATAGGATTTAGCACGCAAAGACTTTTTGTGTACTGTGCGCGAGGAAAAATGTAAGCGCGCGGTTACGCGTATCAAGTACAAGACATATGTGTACATCGTACGTTTATGTGTCCGCAAGAATCTCAAGTGTTCGTCGAGTGTTTCGTCCCGTGTTTTTACCAAAAATTTACGAAAATAACGAGACCGCGAAACATTGTCTCGGTCGACTCGTGCCCGCGAATTCGGATCTTCCTATTTTCCTCTTTATCGTTCTACGCACACTCCGTTTTCGTTTTCTCTCCGTCCTCGGTTCTTTTACCATTTTACCTTCGCTTTCCACCTTTTACTAATTTCAATATCATTCTCCTATTTCAGTTCCTTCCATTCTTGTTCCTCCCGCGACACGATCCGACCGAATAGTTCGTTGTTTTCGTCAACGATCGTTTTTTGGAAATTGTTGACATTTTTGCGAGAGTTTCATTCGTTTCGAGCAAAAGGAAACTTGCAACATTCCGGTGTATCGTTCGAAGCCAATCGATACAAATTAGATGTAAATCGTTGACTCGCATCGAATAGCCGACTCACTAACGAAACAAGATTAGAAGAAACCCTAGAATCAAAGATTCTATGAAAATAAGGAAAAAGAAGTGTAAAAAAAGAAAAAAAAAAAACGTATCAACAAGAACAAAAAGAGTTGCGATTACGTTATTGCACATGTACGAAATATGTCCATACTGCGTAAGCTTAAATGTATTAGTCATACATTTTTTTATGTATATAAATGTACCTCGTAAAGTAATTTCAAATAAAACGTATAGTCATTGTGTTACGCATACCGTTATTAACATTTGCGTCGGTTATAGTCTTTTATCATCGCGAATTAAATGATCAGCCGCGAATGACGCAAGGTATTAACGTAACTTGCCACCACGATTAACTTGGTATCTTCTAAATTTATTTTTCTTTTTTTCTCTTTTCGTCCTTTGTTTCTTTTTTTGTTTTTCAGTATACAGATTTATACGATATTACGACTAACTCTGAAAAAATCCTCCTCCTACGTTATTTTATTTTATTTTTTTTTTTTGTGTGTCACCGGATGTGATCGTGATCGAAAATCGTTTACGAGATTTCCTTCGATTCGCTTCCCATTCGTTTCGAACAATTTTCACCTATCCGGTTCCCCGTCAGAACGCCGTAACCGTTTCTTTTCTTTTTCGCTCGACACGCCATACGCACACAATCTACGACATTGCTTCGCCGAGCCGGTAGCTTTTTTTACATTTACATATATACCTGTATGTATATATATATATATATATATTTGTATTTAAACGCATCTATAATATGTCAAAGATCGTTACCAGTATGATACACTATCGATTATGTTTACATCGCAGAGACTTAAAAATCTACGGGATATTTCTCTGTTGCGAGTATATATACAAGGATGTTAAAAAGAATCTTTTTTTTTTAAAAAACTAAAAGAAATCTAAACGATATCGCGTGACGGAAACGTGTGAAATAAAGATTTTTGGAATTCAGGGATTGTAGAATCGCCGGCGAGGAGAAACAAGGAGAACGGAGCGGATAAACACGCGCCCCTAACTCGACCGGCTAAATATCCGCGCGCAATTATACGCTACTTTATCTTAACTTAGAATCGATCGCTTTTCGAATCTATCGATACTTCGAAACAAACAACACTCCACGCGTTCGTGGAAATTTCGATCGCATCCGCGTATTCGAACGTATACTCGTCAACGAGACCAATGTCATGCGACGATCGTCGGGTTTGAAATGTACTGTTTTTAGTATCAACAAAATCAAAAACTAATCGAAATACACGCGTGACACGGAACGAGCAAATGAACGCGAATCGACAAATATTGGGATATACAGGGTGCTTCCGATCTAGCGGAAAGGGGGGAACATTTACTCGAAAAACTAAGTCGAAAACGTAGAGCGTTCTATCAGCTGATCGGAAACGCCCTGTATATATGAACGTCCGTTGCTTCGCTTCAACTCGTATTCGTACGAGCTTTTGCACCTATGAAAAAGTTTGTAAAATTATATAAAAATAAGTTGCGCGTCACCAGTCTGCGGCTGTTCCCTCCTCCACGTTCTCTCTCGTCTATCGGTTAGCTAAATTTCTTTCGATTTTTCCTTTGTACGCGATCGGTACGCGATCCGTTATCGATTAGCTAAGTGAAACGTGAACTTCACCGATGCGGGGTATCTCGCGGGAATCAACGTCCACGATCTTCCGAATATACATATACATTAGCGAGTATCGTATCACGAAATTACTTTGATCTAATTATTCGGTTTCCGACTAAACGGATCTCAAGCAATTCAATTTCACTCGTGCACTCGATCGCGTACGCGCATGGACATTGCGTGACGGTGAACGTACGACAGCGAGATCGATTCCTTCGAACTACAGCCCGATTTTATCGGCTACTTTGGCGATTCTAATACTCTTTCGCGATCACAGCAAACGACGTTCGATGCCGGCCCGAAATAATTCGTCGTTCTATGCGACGACATGAACTTTGTTTTACACGAACGCGTCGTGCTGTGACGCAGGGGCAGTCTTTCAACGATATCTATATATATTATATATATATATATCGAGGTTCAGCAAACGCGCGCATCTGTCGTCCGTTATTTATTCTTTCTATTATTATTATTAATATTATTATTAGTATTATTATTATTTGTTTTTTTGTTGTTTTTTTTTTTGATTCTACGTAAAATCTCTTCGTCGATCCTATGTACACGTATGATTTCGCCGGAACGCGGGAGTCAGCCCACTGTAAACGTGAAGCGATAGGTTTGATTCGATTAGAAACGGTAGGAGATCGTCGCTGCTTCTCTTTATTTCACGGTGGAAAAGTTTTGCTGTGAATTTTGATTCGATGACACCCAAGTGGTGAACACGTCTCTACAATGACTAACTACGCATTCGTTACTACAATACTCGTCCTCCCATTCGCTGTTCGCTACCGCGGGGTTCGGACATCCGTGGCGTATACAGGCGTTAGAGGTTTGCCTCTGACCGGCCATAGTCGCCTGAGCCGCAGCGTTCACCGGCGATGGGCTCGACATCGAATCGCTCTTGGGAGGACTCGCGTGCATCATTTGTTGCTGCTGCTGTTGCTGTTGATGATGCGACTGTTGTTGCATTTGTACCTGTTGCACTTGCTGCTGCGACATCTGTGAAAATCAAAGTACCGAGGATGGGTGTAACGCGTCGGTTATTAAATCAGAAAAAGAAATGGGGGGGGAGGGAAAGAGGAAGTCGTTGTCGCGTTGGCTGACCTGCATGTACTGTTGTTGCGAGACTTGTTGCTGCATATGTTGCTGTTGCGACTGCTGTTGCGGCATATGCGTCTGTGTCATCGGGTTGTTCATCAATGCCTTTAGAAAGAAGAAAATTGTTTGTTCGTACCTTTAAGGATCAAATGAAGATGAATGATTTCTACCAAACGCATGCTACCTGTTGCGTTTGTTGTTGCTGAGAATTTGTCGACATCGTTAAATGATGAGGAGATTTTTTCATTTGCATCTGTTGCGGTTGTTGTTGCTGTTGATGATGTTGATGTTGCTGCTGATGGGGATGCGAATGCGAATGTGGATGCGGATGTGAATGCGAGTGCGAATGCTGATGCTGTTGTTGAGGTGAGGGCGGTTGAGGCTGAGGACTGTATACCTGGTACGAGACGTTCCCGGCTGATCCGTTTCCGGCGTAACCACCATACGTAGCGTACTGTATTTGTTGCTGTTGTTGGGGCGACGGCTGCTGTTGCGATTGCTGCTGTTGCTGCTCGTTCTCGGCTGCACCCTTGCTAACCAGAGACGCCCTGTACGCAGCGAGGGCCTGTAGGTACTCCTTTTTCGCGGCTTCAGTCTTCTGCTTGTAAACCTGCAACAACCCACGTAGCCTCGTGTAACGCGCTTACTTACTAATCAACTAATCACCTGCGCCGAGGATATAAAATTCAACGGGTATTCACATTTTTATGCTCGATTTCTAAAGCATCCCACATCGAGGCCACGATCTTGGACACCTCTCCGAAACTCGCGTTTGGATTTTGTCCCTTTATTACAGCCTGCGTATCTCTGAAGAACAAAGCGTACGCGGAAACAGGCCTGTAAATAATCAACGTATGTTACATTAGATAAACCATGGAATAAAATATTGACACAAGTAAGATCGCAAGTGTGATCATTTACTTCTGTGGCTCGTTCGGATCTCTCTTTTTCTTTTTCTTCTGAGCTTTCGATTTCCTTTGATTTTTCGCTCCGCCGTCGGTCGGTTCCGGTGAGGGTCGTTTGTTTCCCGTGATCTAAAGAAAGAACGTTTTCTCGTACTTCCTATTCGCGTCGCGTCGAACAAACAATCGGTCGCGACTGGATTTTTCAAACGGGACTTACCATTCCGGGATGAGGCGTGCTATCGTCGCTATCCTCGGAAGTGGTGGTATTGTTGTTCGCTTCGGGAACGTTACTCGATTGTATAGCGGCAGTGCCACCGCCCGTTGAACTCCTATACTGCACCTGTTGCTGCTGCAACTGCTGCTGTTGTTGCTGCTGTTGCTGGGAGTGCATATACTGCATATGCTGCTGCATCTGAGCTTGTTGCTGCTGCTGTTGTTGTTGAAGCATCATCATCTGTTGATTACCGTGTTGCTGTCGCGGAGAGTTCATGTTCGCGTATGAATTCTGTGAGTTACTGTACGTCGAACTATAACGAAACAGAGAAAAATCAGGATCAGTTAGGGGCTGGTTCGATGAACGTGGCTCGAGTGGTCGGTGGAAACATAGATCAGGCTACTATACACCATCCGGTTTTTTAAATTTTCCTTCCGCTCGTAAGCAAGGCGTGTGTACACCCCCCAGGCCGGCTTTCTCGGTTGGTCCTTACGAAAAAGCACGGTCGCGGGATCGTTCATAGGACTCACCTCACGCTGATTGGCTGTATCGAGTGGTCTTGTTGTTGGAGGTAGAGGGATTGCTGATATCCACCTGGATCGAGATTCAATCCGTCCGGAGATTGTTGGACACCGGCTGGTTGCATCATCTACGAAAAATGGTTGAAAAGGAATTCGAACGAGGATAGGTGAAAGGACGAGCACCGTGTTCGTTCGTGTTCTCTCGAGAAGCTTTTTCGTCGTTTAAACGAAACATACCTGAGTCTGGTAACCGTGCATCGCATCGTGCTGTTGTTGTTGTTGTTGCTGCTGCTGTTGCTGCTGTTGTTGTTGCTGTTGCCGTTGCTGGGATTGTTGCTGTTGCGACTGTTGCTGCTGCTGTTGATGCTGATGCGAGTGAGTATGAATCGTCGGAATATCGAAATCCTCGTCGCCGAAACTGGGCGTGTGAAACGTCTGCGAAGAAAAGTCGAGGACTGCCAATTTGTTCGACGATCGAAAGCTATCGCGTGAACAATCGGCAACGGTAATCCCATCGTAACGTTCTCCGTCTTGTCCGGTCTATCCGATACCGTCCGCATCTTCCTTTTTTCCGTGCATCGGTTCCACCGGAACCAGGACCAGATGCACGGTGACCGGCGTCGTATCGTACGAAATCCTTTTAGCGATTTATTCCGTTTCGGAGCTAGGAGCTAGGAGCGGTGAACGAGGATCGCGGAGCTGTGAGCGGGGAAGCGGGGGGAAATACATTTGCCGTGCGCAGCGTGCCGGGCCACGGGGAATAAAAGTTTTTAAATTGGATTTAATAGCGTCAGAAATTTTCCTTTGAAGGAACGTACTTGTGCCTATTGATCGAGTACACCTCTGCCTCCCTTTCCCCCCTGTCACCCCCGGCCCCCCACGGTCCTCCCTCTTTACCCTTCCTCATCATCCACCCTTTCCCTCTCCCAGGCCCATCGCGCGCGTTACCCCTTACCTCGCGATGTTTTCTCTTACTCTATCCGTGTCCCTCTGTCTCCTTCTCACCGTACGGCTCCCCCTTTCGCCGCGCTTCACCGCCCTTCGCCCCGTAACGTCCAGCCGCCAACCATGTGTACGCGTACCCGTTCTATTTTAGCTACTCCTACACCTCCTACTCCATCGCGCACCCTTCCCCCACGTGCCCCCTCGCACCAACTCCTCCGCCTCTTCCTCATCCTTTTGCCGCCCTTTCCATCTCCGAATCGACTACGCGTCTATCCATCTTCTTCCTCCACTGCTTTCAAACTTTTCTTTCTCTCCCCCCGTACGCCACCCTATCCCTCGTCCCTCTGTCTTTCCTCTTCTCTCCTCCTCCTCCTCCTCGTTCCCGTTCCCCCTTGCTCTTGCCCATACCTCTACCTGTATACCCGTACCCGCAGCACCCATACCCATACCCTCTATCATCCCTATTCCCGTTCCCATACCCGGTGTGCACCCTCGCGGTTTCCCCGTGTTCTCCGGTTATCCGGCAATAGCAAGATAGTCCTATCTCCGCAACCCCGTTGATTCTCGTTCCGTTCTTTATCCGCGGGCAAAGTGGTTCGAGTGGATCGGGCTTGCCCACGGGCTCGAACCGGCGCCCGTTCTCCACCTTTCAACTTACCGTTTCAGAAGAACCCGTGGCCAGACCAGCGCCCTTTCCACACGATTCTTTAGCTTCGATCTCGTCGATCGGAATAAGGGTATCGAACATCTCGTATCCCTTCCTACACGCATCGAGGACGCGCGTTCGCTGTCCACGATGCATCCTCCACGCATTTTCAGAAAGAAACGCGGTATACGGTGAGAAAAGATCGCGGTCCGGCGTAAAAACTTCATAGAAGCGGACACGAACGAACGATGCCACAAGGGGAAAGGGTACTTCATCGTCGAGGATGTAGGTTCGGTGGTACAGAGGAACGAACAGAGTCGCGAAACGACAAAGGGACACGAGACGGGATAGCCCCGCCATCGGTGGATCACGATAAACGCGAATCAATCGGTATAGTGTCTTTAACACTCACCTGATCAGCCATGGCGTAGCCGTGATGGTGATAGGATGCCGGGTGATGATGCTGCGGCACGTTCAACGAAAAGTCAAGGTTCTCGTTTCTCTGAAACAAAAGGAAAGCAAAGGTATCGCGGTTAACGACAAACGAATCGAAAAACGGATGAAATTCACGGTTTAAGAACTCGCGGCAATCGATCAATCGTGGATCGTTGGTCATTGAACGATCTCATCGGTTTCTCACGTTCTCTCCTCGTTGTCCCCGCGACGAAACATCCTCGTTCCGTTCCAAAGGAGGAACTGGCACCGATCCGTGGGCCAGGGTTTATCGCAAACGTAGCTAAAGTGCATCCCGTCCAATCTTCGCGGCGCCATTCTCTGCTCGATCCGCGAGCTATTCGCGCGGTTTGACCGCGGATCCGCGAGTTGCGCCTCGCGCCCCCTGTTCTTCGGTCAACGACCCCCAGCAGCCGGCAAACGCGCGGCTTGCCCGATTCGATTCTACCTCCATCCGTCCATCCGTCCCGTTCATCGCCTAATCTAATCTCTCTCCTCGAAAAATCACCTAATTTCCTGCGTTCTGAAACATCTCTTCGTTGTAAACGCGACTTTGTACAAACGTTACGTACGACCACGTTTCCTTACCACTTTGATTCTCCCACCCCCGCTTACGGTGCCACTACTACCATCGCCGCTACCACCACCACCGTCGCCACCTCCACCACCTGCCCTTAACGAAGCACGTTGTTCGCGTTCCTCGACGGTCATCGACCCCCGTACGCGTTTCCTTCCAATTTATCCGATTCGAAAGATCCTTGAATCCTGCTAGCGCAAGATAACGTTTCCAAGCAAAAATCTATTTTCTCGAAAACGATCCTCTTCCTTCGTCTTCCGCGAGCTACGATCGGTCCCCATCAGCCCGTTTACCGACCGCCCGGTTAATTCGACGAGGAATCGACAAATCGTAAGCGTAACGAACGAGGGATAGTAAGAAAGGGGCGGCAAAGAAAAGAAGGAAAGGTGCACGGTGTTACTTTTTCCGAGAGGAGACGCAACAGCAGGCAAGCAGGCGAACGGGCAGGTAAGCGATCAGGAGGGCCAGCAACGGTTGGAAGGGAGGAGGGAAGCAAGCAAGCAGGCAGGCAAGCGAGCAGGTAGGTAGGTAGGTAGGTTGGTAGGTAGATAGTTGGGTAGACGGGTAAGCGAGCAGCCAGGCAGACAAGCAGGTAGGTAGGTAGGTTGGTAGGTAGGTAGGTAGACAGGTCTGAACAGACGGTCGAGCAAGAAAAACGAAATTGAGTCGAAACAAGGGATACATGTCATCGGGAAAAGACTTACGATGCGAATCCTCCGATTATTCCGAACGATACACTTGGATCGTTCGAGCTGCTAGAACGCGAGTATAACCGTCACGGTTATTAGTAATTAGTTCGTTATATAGCCGGTCTCGTTCGGTGGATCCTTTAATTTTCGACACTGCCACGCGTTTAGCGAATTTGTAGAAACCCGTATCGCCAGGCAACTGGAACGCCTAAGAGTTTCCTTTCGACGAAAGGTTAAACTCCGATTATGATCGTTCAACGTGCCCACCGTACAACTCCGACTTGCGTCCAACCAACGTATCCCTCTTCCTACCGGCTATACGATTTCTCCTTCCGACAATTTTTCCCTAAAATCGAACAACGATCGGCCGAAACCTGAAACATTGTTCGTTAAACGTTAACGCGAAACACAGATAAGAAGAGAAAAAAAGGTGAAGGTAGGGGGAGGGAAGAAGGAACCGGGACAAGGGAGCAGGGATTTATGGCAGGAACGGTGGAAGAATAAAGCGAAAGCTAGAGATCCGATAGATATACACGAACGAGTCTCTTACTCGATGTAACCGATGTTAAACCTGTTCTTCGTCGCGGCTCCCTTCCCACCACCTCTTCGATCCTAGCCCGCTCGTTTCTACATCGTCATTCTACTCGACGATTACCGTCATCGGTAATCCGTGGTCTGTTCATTCTTTTCCTTCTTTTACGAACTCTTTCGTAAACTCGCGGTCCGTGTTTTGGCGTTACGTTATCGTTTACGAATAACGAAAAGCGAAAGAACCTTACCCCCCGTTGTTACACCGATTTCCGACACAGTAAAATGACCGAACACGAGGAGTTCGAAGATTTAATTAATTCGAATTAATAGATAGGTATACATTCGGAGGGAAAAGTTAAATAATTACACGTTTTTCCAACGCCAGCTCCCACCTGTAAACGCGTTTCGATATTCAAAACGATTCGAAATCGATTTCGTTCGAGAATCGGCGTCGTTGTTGGTAAATTGAACGCGACTATCGATAGATGGCGCCAGCGCCATCTTGAAAGAAAACAATCACGGTGAAACGACAATGGGACCGTAACCTAATACGATGCGCGTTTACTCGGATCTTTGAGGAATCAGGCGAGAAATCACAAAGAATTAATAATCTATCGATCGAAAGTATCGATTGGTTAATCACTTACCGTTGGGACGAGGAACCAACGACTCGGTACAACGAAATCCAGGTTACTGAGTGCACGTGCGACGTGCGAAGCACCGCGTGTACCGTTAGCGCACTACGCTCGCTAGTTTGTTTTCAACAACGCTCACGCGTTCCTTCCGTGGCTGACTCGCTTCGAGAGTAAAGATCTCTGAAAAATCGAGATGCGATCGAGGGGGAACGGTCGCGATACCTCGATCGTTCGCACGCGTCCACACTTGCCAGCGAAATGTACACACGTTTCCAGGATACCACCACGCGTTCGACACGGCACTTAGCGACGCGACACGATTAAACGGTAACAGGTACAACTCGCGGTTCGATCGAGATTAAAAGCCCGCGTAACGCCAACTTTTTTCAATCGCTGCGCAACGTATACTTTTAACGTGTAACGCACTCTAACCGTGGCGTAACTCGTGACAGCGTGGCAAAAACGACGCGCGCTCCTCGCGGCGGCCGGCGCGGGAATGATTAAAGGAGGTTCATTTTGTGGCACGCACCGATGGAGGGGATGAATCTCGCGACAGGGGAGTGGACGCGCGCGCTCCCTGTCGTACGTACGATACAAAAGGGTACGATGCAACCGCGACACGGCCGATCGAAAAAATACTCTGTGTAAACTTAACGAGAAAGCAGCATTAGTATTTTCTTATACGTTACTTTCTTACTCTTGCTTTCTTTCGACTTCCCGTTCTCCGCTGGTTCATGCGTCCCCGATGACAAGGGCACGAACGAGCTCCGATCGCGTCGCGCGACACGTGTTCGAACGGCGCGTAAGTTTCGCTTAAATAGCCCCTAGTGGATGTAAAAAGCAATGTATTCTTACAGATGCATACGATCTCTTAAAACAGAAACGACAAACAACCGCGGAGCCGCTTCCGTGCCCTCTGTTCGAGGCGATTAATCGCGTTTAACGAGATTCTGAAACGGTCAGGTTAAACGTAATCATTTTCTCGCCTGTTTCTTGTGGAATATTATTTCGGAATCGCGTCGAATCACGCGAATAGCATTCGTGTTTTGTGGCCCAGATAACGAGCTGCGAACGCAACGCCGGAGAAGAAAGGGGTCGGTCGGAGGGCGGCAGCGAGGCGGAGTGGTACCCGCGAAGTAGAGAGGGGCAGGGGGGGCATTCACGGCGAGGAGAAGGGAGAAGATGGGGGCCAGGGGGGCGGCGAGGGGTAAGAGTACGCGCGAGAACGGGGTAAACGGGGGAGAGAGTGAGAGTGAGGGTGCAGAAGGAGGGGGGATTGGTGCACGATCGAAAGGGGCCGGTGGCGCAATGAACGGAGCAAAGAGGACTCGCGACGCGTGACGCGCGCGCGGTCAAACGACGACAAAAGGGACCCACCGAAAAAAAAATCAAATCCAACTTGCGATCTAGATTCGTGTCCCGATCGAAATGAGAAGAAAGAACTTCTCAAAGATTCCCGATTCGAAGGAAACTGACAATCAGATCGGAATTACTCGCGTTATCCTATCGCCACTCGGTTACACGAATATTTCAAGAAAGTAGGACATCGGAGTATATAAAGAGTCGCTACGTTCCCGTGAAAGGTGGCTTTAATTTCAGTGACATTCCAATCGCATTAACGCATATTCCCGCGGCGAGCGCCGAGCGACCATCCATTAGAAACGTTTGCCCCGAGATGCTTGTACAATTCATCCCGGCGATGATTCGAGGCGAACGATGTTTTCCGATCGATTCCCTTCCTCTCTCGATGCAAATAAAAAAACGATCAATCGTTGTTAACACGAATTTTTTTTCTTCGCTTTTCTATTCCTAACCGATCGAAAGACACGAGGGCGAAAACAAGGAGGTCGGAGTGAAACGGTGTTACAAAGAATCCGCGTCGGTTGACGCCGGGCCGTGCCGCACCGCGCCGTCCCGATCGATATTCTCTCGCGGGACGGTCGAGCGCTGTTTCTCCGCTTCGGAGAACGGGAACGAGCTATCCTCGAATCCCGAATACATGTATAAACCCAATCTGTTCCCTTTATTTCTCGATCGATCGACTTATACCCCGAGATAAACCGAACCGCGTTTATTGGATCGATTTCATCGCCATTTTGTAGTACCGATTTCCTTACCGAGGTGATCGACAGTTAGGCAAGTTAAAATAATAAAGTGGTAAGAAAATAAATCAAAGTAACGATCGGATCGACGATGAAACGATATTACCCGTCTCGTTTCTTCCCTCGATTCTTCTTCTTCTTCCTCTTTTCTACGGATCCATTAACAGTGTTTTTCAACGTCTCGAACAAATGTTGATTTTACAAATTTCTTTGGACGAACGTTTACACAGCCGATAATCGCCCGAGGCTTATCGCGAAACCACCATTTTCTCTGCTAGCCGCTCGACAAATTCCACGTTTTTCCCATGTATTTGCACTTTCGCGTTTCTCCCTGCCCGCCCACCCCACCACGATGCATCGCGAATAATCGCGCAACTCGCGAAAGCCTTTCGTCTTTGTCCCGCGTACGCTCGATTCGCATTATCCTGAAACCTTAAACCGGTTTTACTTATTACGCGAGCGTCCGCTTATCTCGCATAGATCTTTTATTACCAGCCACGGTAAGAGAACGTTTC